TTCCCTTTGTGATATGGAACCTTGTAGTACAATTTCAGAAAGATCCATAGACTTACACACAAGTTATTGTCATGAAACTAGAAAAATGCTTGTTTTTGCCCCTTTTTTAGCCCCTAATTCCTAAAATTTTGAGGCAATTACCCCTAAAATCAATCCAAGCATTCCCTTTGTGATATGGAACCTTGTGATACAATTTCATAGAGATCCACAGACTTACACACAAGTTATTGTCTGGAAACTAGAAAAATGCTTGTTTTTTGGCCCCTTTTTGGCCCCATATTCCATTACATTTAGGGCAATTACCCCCAAACTCAAACCCAGCTTTCCCTTTGTGATATGGAACCTTGTAGTACAATTTCATAAAGATCCATAGATTTACACACAAGTTATTGTCCTTAAACTAGAAAAATGCTTGTTTTTTGCCCCTTTTTGGCCCCTAATTCCTAAACTTTTGAGGCAATTATCCCCAAAATCAATCCCAGCCTTCCCTTTGTGGTTTGGTACCTTGCAGTATAATTTTAGAGAGATCCATACACTTGAACACAAGTTATTGTCTGGAAACTAGAAAAATGCTTATTTTTGGCCCCTTTTTGGCCCCTTATTCTTAAACTTTGGGCAATTACCCCCAAACTCAATTCCAGCTTTCCCTTTGTGATATGGAACCTTGTAGTACAATTTCAGAAAGATCCATAGACTTACACACAAGTTATTGTCTGGAAACTAGAAAAATGCTTATTTTTGGCCCCTTTTTGGCCCCTTATTCCTAAACGTTTTAGGCAATTACCCCCAAACTCAATTCCAGCTTTCCCTTTGTGATATGGAACCTTGTAGTACAATTTCAGAAAGATCCATAGACTTACACACAAGTTATTGTCATGAAACTAGAAAAATGCTTGTTTTTGCCCCTTTTTTAGCCCCTAATTCCTAAAATTTTGAGGCAATTACCCCCAAAATCAATCCAATCATTCCCTTTGTGATATGGAACCTTGTGGTTCAATGTCAGAGAGATCCATACACTAACAGACAAGTTATGTCTAGAAGTTATAAAAATGCTTATTTTTGGCCCCTTTTTGGCACCTCATTCCTTAACTGTTGGTACCATAACCCCCAAAATCAATTCCAACCTTCCTTTTGTGGTATGGAACCTTGTAGTACAATTTCAGAAAGATCCATAAACTTAAACACAAGTTATTGTCACGAAACTAGAAAAATGCTTGTTTTTTGCCCCTTTTTTGCCCCTATTTCCTAAAATTTTAAGGCAATTACCCCCAAAATCAATCTAAACATTCCCTTTGTGATATGGAACCTTGCAGTACAATTTCAGAGAGATCCATACACTTGAACACAAGTTATTGTCTGGAAACTAGAAAAATGCTTATTTTTGGTCCCTTTTTGGCCCCTTATTCCTCAACGTTTTGGGCAATTACCCCCAAACTCAATTCCAGCTTTCCCTTTGTGATATGGAACCTTGTAGTACAATTTCAGAAAGATCCATAGACTTACACACAAGTTATTGTCGTGAAACTAGAAAAATGCTTGTTTTTGCCCCTTTTTTAGCCCCTAATTCCTAAAATTTTGAGGCAATTACCCCCAAAATCAATCCAAGCATTCCCTTTGTGATAAGGAACCTTGTGGTACAATATCAGAGAGATCCATACACTAACACACAAGTTATGTCTGGAAGTTACAAAAAATGCTTATTTTTGGCCCCTTTTTTGGCCCCTAATTCCTTAACTGTTGGTACCATAACCCCCAAAATCAATCCCAACCTTCCTTTTGTGGTATTGAACCTTATGGTAAAATTTCATAGAGATCCATTCACTTAAACTAAAGTTAGAGTGAGAAAACCAAAGTGTCTTCGCACGACGACGCCGAATGACGACGACACCAACGTCATACCAATATACGACCACAAAATTTTTTTGCGGTCGTATAAAAAGTACAATGTTATGTTTGGATTACCTCCCTTACGCTGCTTTTAGATTATGTATAAAGAAATGTTGTATTGTCTTGAGGTGATTAGCTGTCAATTTATTTTTAGAAGTTACTATTTTAAAAATGCTGATTATGGAATATTAATTTTAGCCATTATTATGTATGTCATTTTCTATTTTAAGACTTTTATGATGTATCTAAATGGGTAATTATGGTTGCAAACTCCATTGGAAATTTGACCATATCTTGAGGGAAAGAATTTTTTTTTTTTAGAAAAAGGGGGGGGGGAGGTGAAAAAAAATTGGGGTGTTGAGGGGGGGGGTTAAAAAAAACTGTGATGGGGGGACAATTTTTTCTCATTTCAATTTGCAACAGCATAGTGTATTGCACAAAAGCAAAAAAAAGGGGGGGTAAATGGTTTTTTTTTGGGGGGGGGGGGGGGGGGGGGGGGGCAATTCGCAAAAGCATAGAGTGTATCGCACAAAAGCAAAAAATTGAATATAAATTCAAATCATATAACCAATTCTAAGTTCTTTAACTACAGTTATTCTGTGTCAGAAACCTATCATCTGTCAAATATTTAATTATAATCCAAATTCAGACCTGTATCAAGCGCGAATATTGTGTCCATTTTTGCCCCAACTGTTCAGGGTTGGACCTCTGCGGTCGTATCCAGCTGCGCTGGGCGAAGCAATTTATTCGTGATTATTGGGCTGTATCAAAATCATTGTTTCTCGTGATTATTGGGCTGCATTGCAAACATACAAAATTTGGGAACATCAGAATTGTACAAATCGTGATCATGGCAGATGAATTTTCATCTGGAAGAAGGTTCTCACACAGCCTCAGAAGAAAAGCACGGCTGATTCACAAAATTCAAAGATACAGTATTACCATAATACATTTGTCTTATTTCTATTACAATGCCCAACCAGGAAAGACGTTTGAAAGAAGAATTAGAAAAAAGAAAAGAAACAAACAGGAGTTTGAATGACTTCTTTTGTACTGCATGAGTGTTTTAAAGATATTTGATTTACAATCCTATGCAGAAAATCATCAAGCATATTAACAATGACTTCATGAAACTTTTAACTGTAAAGTAATTTCTTTATTTTATCATCTGTTTCATATTTTTTTTACGTGATAATGTCATTAGTAATAAAAGGGGTTAAGCGTTAGCCAGTTCTTAGATAAATTTCAGAAGCTGGCCCATCTTCAAAGTTTTAATCAGCATGTATGAATGCATGATTCTTATTGTAAAAAACTATAGTTCGGTAGAACACTCATGTCAGGAAAGTTGAAATCATCAACTCAATGGTTAAATTTAAACCAATTATGATATATTTAAATTAAAATAGAAGCAATAGAGATAATGAAGCCAGGTGCATGGATTGTCATGTTAATAATTGTTCAGTAATAAACACTCTACAAGGGGATAATCTGTTATGACTTTTTAGGGAGTTATACATTTCCACAAATATATTTGCCTCCCCCAGAAGATGGGTAAACAGGTTGTCACCCTGGGAAACGTTTAACATTGTAAAAATGACTTTCTGCTAGATAAGTCTTTTATTATTATAAAGTTAAAACATCATTACTTTTCACTAGATAGGACTCCTCTCAGGTTATATTCTTTTACATGTGGATGAAAAATAAAAGTCACAAACACATTAACTAGGCAGCAATTGCTTTAACAGCCGTTAAGACTTTGATTATATTTTCTGATTGCCTTGATATCTGCAAAAGGGACTTTTTTAGAATGTTAATAATCATGATAATAACTGTAACAAAAAATCACATCTTCTTTATTATTCTATGTAACATTTTTTCTACAAACTAAATTGAATCAGCGTACATGAAGTTCATGTCCATCCTCTTACCCCTACTTAAACCAACCGTTAAATTGTTCTCCCTATGAATATTGAACTAGTCAGTGTTGATTTCAAAAGCGCAAAGCAACTTAAAAATCTAACACAGCACGTTTCTTGCATAACAGTGTAGAGAAAAGAAATTTCAAGACATTTAGTGAAAAAAATTGGTGGGTACCCTTTTGTCATGTCTTTGCTGTTACCAACATATTTATTAAGTACATCAATATTATACTAGTAAAATGTGCAATAACGTGATGGAAACCAAAATCACAACAGAATAACATTATCACTTTATCAAAGGGAGTAGTTATTTCACAACAGCATTCTCAAATGAAGAAATTCATCTATCCTGTTATGTCTATCCTGTTACTATGGTTACAGTAACAGGAAAGACAATATTTGACAGAAATGTTTTTAAAAAGTTTATAATTACATATAGTTGTACACATAATGAAATGTTTTGTTGTTTGAACTCATCTAAAGGTTATAACGACTTAATCCTTGCAATTTAGCATTTGCAGATGCAATACTGCTATTGGTAACAGGATAGACAAAAAGGGTAACAGGATAGAACTTAATGTGGTGATATATCATTATCGTACGTTCCTGTTACCAATGAAATAAAGACAAAAGTAAACCAACATGCGAGGGAATTACTTGATGTTGGGTTTTTTTTTTTTAAAAAAAAGAAAAAAATTCTGAACATTATGAATTGCTATCTTAGACTTGCATTACTGGTGGTTATTTTTGTAACCTTTGACTACCCAATTTTTATAGGCATTTTTCAGTACAACATGGAAAATTGACAAATAATGTATCATTTCACAGAATAAAAATACATAGAAGTTTTTACTCCTGAAAACCATCTTATTGGCTATGAAAAACAAGCTTAAAATTTTATCGAAACCTTTTCTAAATAACCCAAAATTTCTTTTGAACATAGTAACAGGAGAGACAAAATATTGCACCACCTATCACAAACAGTTTCAATATATTCTTGTATGACATTATCAAGATTGCATTTTTATATATGTAGTTCCATAAGTACTGTTTGTTTTGATTTGCTTATGCTGAGGGTTGTTTGAATAAGTAACTTTAAATCAATTTCAAAATTTAAAATTTCGACATTTTTTGAAAATGACCCATATGCATTTGACTCATGTGCTTCAACTGCTTGTTAATTGAACTTTTCAGATGAGTGATATTGATTCACAAGAGGAAAATGATGAAGACTGGGCAGACACTAATTGGGCTGATCCTTATGATAATAGTCCAAAGAAAAATAAGATGGATGCAATAGGATCTGTAATGAATGTCACACGTGGGTACATTTATATTTCCATTGTAACAGAATTTTTATTTCTATTAGAATTTAAATTGAAAGCAGGTAGGAAGTAAACATCAATGAGACAGCGACACAAGACTTGAATAACCTAAAAGCATTTAAACATTAAAGAAATCATCACTTTCTGATCTTTTCAAAGTTCCTGTTATCTTTTAAGGGAAAAAAAAGTTTTATGTTTGCAGGAAGGAAATTGTTTTGTACTGGTATGGTACATTGTACTTTGTACTTTTGAGATTTAAACAAAATTTTGTTTTTGCTTTTTTGAGTCAAGAGTAGCTGGCTAACTTTGAATGTAAAGGTATTAAAATTTGACCACTACACACTTCAACAGAAAACATTATATCTTGATAAATAGCACCATGCCTGTTGTCTATTTGAATCTAGGCATAGAAAAAATGAACATGCAGCCAATACAAGAAAATCAGTTAGATGACAATCAAAACTTATCAGAAAGTGACAACAAAGCTGGAGAAAATTCAGGTCTAATGAATCGTATGAGATTAAATGATAACAAAGCTGGAATGGATGGATTGGACAAAAAAAAGATCAATCAAGTCATTCTTGAAGCATCAAAAGGTATATACTTAAAAGATTTATTTGTTGCTAATGATTGCTGAGATTGGAGCTGTAACTTTGGTAACAAATTCATTAAAGAAGATAAAGAGTAATAGTTTTGGTAATTGTTGGTTATAGATAAATATGTGGATTTCATTTCAGATATGCAGTTGTAGTCACATTTTCTTCTTTGGTAAAAATTCCTCTTTTAGACATTTTCACAAGTGTATATTTATTTTGGGTATAAAGTGTAATTTTTAGCTCACCTGGCCTTAAAAGTCATGTGAGCATTTGTCATCACCTGGCATCAATCATTGTCTGATGTCCAAGACAAGAAAAGATCTACAAATGTGTAGGTAGATCCAGGTGAGCCTCTTGTTTTAGTTATTATATCAATGTCTCTTTATCCATATGATAAGATTCACGCTCTTAAAGTCAATTGAAATTCACTTCTTTGTAAACCTTGAATGAACCAAATAGGAGATGATACTACAAAAAAAAATTGAGATTCAGTTTCTCAAAAATCACAAAAACCTTTATTGAAGATTACTTTCATGTCTTACAATAAGATAGAAATAAGTACATTTTAGTACACCAAATCACAGCCCTTCGAGAATGTTCAATGAGTCTATTTACAAATAAAAGGAACTTGCATAGATGCATTAATATATGTACTGGTGATAGTACATAAGTATATGACATAAATTTTTAGAACAAGTGAATAAATTATACAATGTTATGTATGTGGTTTATTATTGATGCATCTGTATCTGTTATCAAAGCATTGAATTTATGCAAAAAAGAAATTATATTTGTGATAATAGGATCAAGATTTTATGAAAATGAAAGAAAGAAAGAACAACAAATGAATAAAAGGATAGAAGAGCAGAAAATCAAGTTACAACAGATAACAGAGAGTCAGCTTAAACAGGGAATAATTGAAGTATGTGAACATATGAAAAGTCTAATTAATTTCTTGACTATAAGAATATTTGAAAAAAATGAAATGATAGATTATATATGTATACAACAGCAATGGATGAACTTACATTTGGAATTTAAAGATACTATAAATTATAAATTATTTTCAAAGGGAGATTTATGAAATATGATTGTTCATATAAATCAATCAAATATAAGGAAAACAAAACTAGCTAATTATACTAAAATAACTGTCAGAAATTAAATAGTTTTTAAACAGTATTATAAATCTTATGGTAAAAATAAGTGAAAAGTATTTGGTATCTGATCAGTATCATAAGGTAAAAGATTTATCTTTACTCATTCAAAAAAAAAATGACATTCAATCAAAAGGTAAAAAAGTTTTCAAATAATAAATATGATCATCCCTGTCTTAACTACAGCACTGATCTAATGTTATTAGGAGTCCATATTTAGATATTCAAGATCTTCTCGAGTCGAAACTAAAATCTGATCTTGAAATTTATGTACCTACCGTAATTGGGCTTGTGTAGTTTCGCACTGGTACATTGTCCGCACCCCCTTTCTCACCACGAAATTTCAGGTAAAAAAACTTTTTGTAACTGCTAGAAAATGTCTAATGAAACACTGGAAATTTCAATTCGTGTGTGGTCGTTTGCAGTATTTTCATGGAAAAATCTGGTGTCCATCATCAAATAGAAGTTGAAAATGCTTGTTAATGATTCTAGAACACTTCACGAAAGTTAAAATAATACAAAATCACAACAGCAAAAAAACAATTTAGAAACTTGTGTTTGTTTAAATTTGAAGTTCGAAAAGCACGTGTAAATGAAAATAAAAAGGGTGAGAGTGTATGGACTGAATAGATGTTTTGTAGTTTATACATTGTAAGCTGATTCCCGGTTGACTTCTACACTTTTTTCGTTCCATTAAATTCAAGCAGAATCCAGTTTATTTTAACCAATGCAGTGAAAAGAAACGAGAAATTTGTAGTGAAGCATTTGATATTTAAAGGAGTAGCCCGGTAAGACCCCTTTTTGGCCCCAAAATATAGCGTTTTTACAAATTTGTTAAAAATGTAAACTTTAGCTATTAATTGGAAAGTAGAATACTTGGGTTACATAAATATGGACTGTTTTTGACAATACAATGCACATACATCAGATACTAGAATAACTAATGCATGCAAAATTACTGAAATCTTCACAATTTTAGCATTTGTTCTAATTTTTAGACGTTTTTTTCTAAAATGGAAGAGGCCACATTTGTGTTCAGTCTTAATATTTCAATATATGTTGTATTTGATGATTATACATAACATATATAAAGATTGGGACTTACATTTTTGACAAAAAACATCTGAAAACTTACATTTTATGGCATATTTGATAGATTTTTTTTCATATATAAGCTTAAATTTGAGCGTCTGTAATTACCAAATTAGTTCTAATCTTTTACATAAACTAATTGAATCGACTGAAGTTGACACTTTAGTGTTAAAAAAATGTCAAAATTCATTCATCAGATGTTCTTTAAATTTTAGGCCAAAATTAGCCCTTACCGAACTTTCTCCTTTATAAGTTTTTATACTGCAACTAGATGTGTTTATTTCCTAAATATAGTAACATAGCTATGTTTTGTGCAATGTCAATTTCACCACAATCAGGGGTTCATTAAGGGATGAAAATAAGTTTGAAATTTGTGTTACAATTTAAATAGCTATCAATGTATTAATTTAAGTTGCAGTATAAAAACAATATTAGGTCAATGTCATAAAAATATAAACTTTTTTGTATTCGACACAAAACTGGGGAAGGGCTCAGTAAAACCTTGCCCTTCCCCAGTTTCTCAGCCTCATACAAAAAAGTTTATATTTTTCAGACATTGACCATGTTGACCTAATATTGTATATATATTTGATATTGAATAAAAAATACATATTAATATGGATTAGGTAAAATTATTAGTTTTGAAAATGGTAAGAGCAGCCTCTACAATTTCAATAACAAACATGGCCGAACATAAACAAACCTCGCAAAATTGATTCTTTTCTCTTATTTCTTGCTTATCGTACTCCATAGTCGACACCCCTGTATGGCAGGTTCAATTTTGGAGAATAAAACCGCGGACTATACAAGCCTTTGATATTTATTTCTGCAACTTCAAAAGATACTTTTTGCATTTATTATTGTGATTATCGATCAATGGACAAAAATGTTTAGTCTTAATTAATAAGGTTTCAAGAAATGCTGTACTAAAGTTATGTAATAAAACTTGAAATGCAATACTGATCTTGTCATATTTTCCACAATGACAAAAACTTCACAAAAATGTCTGAATTTACAATAGTTTGAGCATCAAAAAGAGGTATGTATAAATTTACATGTACCTATATATTTGACATAATGTTTATAAACAGATAAAGGGTACAAAGTTTCAACATCCAAGCATTCAGGCTTTTTTTATGTGATAAAAGATCATTTGTGGTTTTGGATCTTTCATTGCATTTGATGATTTAATGTTACCATGGAAGCATTATTATTCATGGGACAAGAATTTTCTGTAGACTTCATTAGTAACGGTTAACCACAAATTTGAAAGTTTAATGACATACAAATTGTCTATAGGTTTGAATGCATACTTGACAATACAAAGAATTGAAATATCCATGAAAATACAAATGTACAAGTTTTACTCATTCCATGGAAATTGGTATCCACAAAAATAAAAGATTCCACAGAAATATTTTTTATCTAACTAGAACTAAGTAGTCTTATTACTGTTAAGGCAGAGAAGATCCTTGATCAACTTGAAAGAACTATAAAGTAGGTAAGAAAATAAAATGAATGGTATTGTTCTATAGGCAGATAAACTCCTGGAGGAATTTGAGAACACCAGAGATATAAGTAAAACCATTGTTCATATTGATATGGATGCATTCTATGCAGCAGTTGAGATGAAAGACAACCCAGCACTGAAGGATAAACCTATGGCTGTCGGTGGCAATTCTATGTTGGTTTGTATCTTTCCTATTAGTTTGAAGCTAAACAGATTTACATATTTAAAATGGGGGCTATCTTAACATTCACATTTATTATATTTTATATAATGTATAGTAATGCAAATGCATTGTTTCAATTCATTGATTTAAGTTACTCAAATTTGTTTTATAATACCGGTACATTCTTTGATTCAGTGCAATAAAGATCTATAAAACATAATAGATTCCTAACTGAATCTTGATTTAAAAGTATCTTTAATTTTCTTATCTTTTTTTCAATTATTGAGCTATGAGAATTCAAAATGAAGTTTCCTGACTATTGACACAAAAAAAAGTATTATAATAAGGTTTATTTTGAATGGCATAATAAAAAGTATTGAATATGTACTTAACAAAACAAAAAGAAATTAAAAACGGGTACTAATGGCATAGAGCAATATTTTAACAAGACAACATTTTACGTGCAGTGTCCTGTGCAAACAAACAATACTTTTTCTTGTTCGTGTTGCTCAGTCTTTGGTTTTCTATGTGGTGTTTTGTGTACTATTGTTTGTCTGTTGGTCTTTTTCTTTTTTAGCCATGGCATTGTCAGTTTATTTTCGACTTATGAGTTTGAATGTCTGTCTGGTATCTTTCGCTTCTCTTTCAGATTAAAAATGATTATGAGATTATTTAGTATATTTAATATGAAACTAAAGAAGAAGAAAAACGTTTGTTGACAGCTTGAAATCTGACAAAGACAACTAAATTTTAAAAACAAATTTTAATCTATATATATATATATATCTGATAGAAGTAAAATTCTATGGTTCTGCCACTAACTATCTAGAAATGAAGCTTTACTATTTCCCATATTTATCTATGTATGTGTCATTGCAGTCCACTTCTAATTACCACGCAAGGAAATATGGAGTGAGGGCAGCCATGCCAGGATTTATTGGTAAAAAATTGTGTCCAGAACTTATTATTGTACCAACACACTTTGATAGATATACAGAGATCAGTAAGCAAGTAAGAGAAGTATTAGCTGAATATGATCCAAATTTCTCTCCAATGAGTTTAGATGAAGCCTATTTAGACATGACAGAGCATTTTGAGAAGCGATTTCATCTGTCGGAATATGAACGAACAGTAGTATGCAGAAAAACTGATGGTTGTAGTAAAACTGAATGTAATTGTGATTTAAACCTGAAATTGAAACCTTTATTATTGTATCATGAACTCAGTAGACATAACAGCTCTCCTTCAACAAATACTGCAGTTAAAACTGATCATAACAGTGAAAAACTGTCAACAACAATATGTCCTCTTTGTGGAAAACCTTATCCAGATTATCACCTTGTGACCTTTGGTATGTCACCTGATGATTCTGTGAATGAGATGAGAGCAAAAATAGAGCAGAAAACTGGTTTGACAGCAAGTGCAGGTGATTTGCATTAGTTTTAAGCGATAGATATTTTTTCAGGACATCAAATTCTGTAGGTTGAAGATAAAATTAATCTTTAAAAATGTGTTGTCTGTGATCAGAATATTTGGCAATATGTATTTAAAATCAGGATAAAATTTGATGATACAAATGTCAACATAAAAGCTTATTTTAGTACTAAGCTGTAAGGATTGTAAAAATATTCTAGAATTCTAAGTCAATCAATTAAAAGGCAGCAAAAAAAGTTCTTTTAGATTTATAAGCTTCTTGAAAATTGTTGCCAGCGTACTAACTAAGTTTGAATTTATGGATTGTATAAAAGGTGTAGATCACAAGCCTTTCAAGATGAAAATATTTACAAATTTTAAAGCTGTTGAAAATTTATTTGTTATCAACAAACTAGCTGAATATTGTGAACTTTGCTAGAATTAAAAGCCATTCCATTGAATTGCAGCAAAATAGGGACGATAAAAATTGATATTCCTGTGTTAATTTATATTAAATACAGTTTTATTGTCGAGCCTGCGACTTTTGTCGCAGAAAGCTCGACATAGGGATAGTGATCCGGCGGTGGCAGTGGCAGCGTTAGCTATATTTTTAAAAGCTTTATATTTTAGAAGGTGAAAGACCTGGATGCTTCATACTTTGTATATAGATGCCTCATGTTACGAAGTTTCCGTCAGTCACATGTCCAATGTCCTTGACCTCATTTTCATGGTTCAATGACTACTTGAAAAAAAAGTTAAGATTTTTTGAAACGTTAAATTCTCTCTTATTATAAGTAATAGGATAACTATATTTGGTATGTGCGTACCTTACAAGGTCCTCATGCCCATCAGACAGTTTTCACTTGACCTCGACCTCATTTCATGGATCAGTGAACAAGGTTAAGTTTTGGTGGTCAAGTCCATATCTCAGATACTATAAGCAATAGGTCTAGTATATTCGGTGTATGGAAGTACTGTAGGGTGTACATGTCCAGCTGGCAGGTGTCATCTGACCTTGACCTCATTTTCATGGTTCAGGGGTTATAGTTAAGTTTTTGTGTTTTGGTCTGTTTTTCTTATACTGTATGCAATAGGTCTACTATATTTGGTGTATGGAATGATTGTAAGGTGTACATGTCTAGCTGGCAGGTTTCATCTGACCTTGACCTGATTTTCATGGTTCAGTGGTCAAAGTAAAGTTTTTGAGTTTTGGTCTTTTTTTCTAATACTATATGCAATAGGTCAACTATATTTGGTATATAGAAATATTTTATGATCTATATGTCGGTCGCACAGGTTTCACTTGACCTCGACCTCATTTCATGGATCAGTGAACAAGGTTAAGTTTTGGTGGTCAAGTCCATATCTCAGATACTATAAGCAATAGGTCTAGTATATTCGGTGTATGGAAGGACTGTAAGGTGTACATGTCCAGCTGGCAGGTGTCATCTGACCTTGACCTCATTTTCATGGTTCAGGGGTTATAGTTAAGTCTTTGTGTTTTGGTCTGTTTTTCTTATACTGTATGCAATAGGTCTACTATATTTGGTGTATGGAATGATTGTTAGGTGTACATGTCTAGCTGGCAGGTTTCATCTGACCTTGACCTGATTTTCATGGTTCAGTGGTCAAAGTTAAGTTTTTGAGTTTTGGTCTTTTTTTCTAATACTATATGCAATAGGTCAACTATATTTGGTATATGGAAATATTTTATGATCTATATGTTGGTTGCACAGGTTTTATTTGACCTTGACCTCATTTTCACGGTTCATTGCTCAGTGTTAAGTTTTTGTGTTATGTTCTGTTTTTCTTAAACTATAAGCAATAGGTCAACTATATTTGTTGTATGGAAGAATTGTTAGCTGTACATGTCTGCCTGGCATGGTTCATCTGACCTTGACCTCATTTTCATGGTTCATTGATCAATGTTTAGTTTTTTGGTTAATGATAAGTTTATGTGACAGTTGTAATAAAGCTTTATATTTAGGACTATCAACATAATATCAATGATTAATAAAGAAGGCGAGACATTTCAGCGTGTGCACTCTTGTTCTGTATTGTATAGGTATTGCACCAAATACGATGTTGGCTAAAGTTTGTTCTGATAAAAACAAGCCAAATGGTCAGTATAGAATATTACCTGATAGAGACACAGTTATGGAATTTATTACAGATCTACCAACAAGGAAGGTAAATATAGATCATTTCTTATCAATATTTTGTATTATAAGCTCAATTGTGTAGATTTGGCAGATATTCTGTTAACCCATGTCCTTCTGTTAATCTTCTATCCATCAAATATGTTGTCATAAATCTCTCATTGATGATTTGAATGTTTGAATTTAATTGTACATTGCAATGTGAAGCAATCTTTACCCTTCAGTGTTCACAAGAACTTTTAGATTATTATACCCCACGCAATTTATAGCTTCGGGTATAATGTTTTTGACCCGTCTGTCTGTCTGTCCGTCCGTCAGTCCTGTTCTTGTCATTGCAACTCCTCTGAAAACACACAACAGAAGTTCATGAAACTTTGTAGATAATAAGGGCATACTATGTAGATGTGCATATTGACAGGAAATTATAGTTCAATTTTTATACGACCACAAAAATTGAAAAATTTTTGGTCGTATATTGGTATGACGTTGGCGTCGTCGTCGTCGTCGTCGTCGTCGTCGTCGTCGTCTGGCGTCGTCCGGCGTCGTCCGAAGACACATTGGTTTTCGCACTCTAACTTTAGTTTAAGTGAATGGATCTCCATGAAATTTTACCATAAGGTTCAATACCACGAAAGGAAGGTGGGGATTGATTTTGGGGGTTATGGTACCAACAGTTAAGGAATTAGGGGCCAAAAAGGGGCCAAAAATAAGCATTTTTGTAACTTCCAGACAATAACTTGTGTGTAAGTGTATGGATCTCTCTGACATTGTACCACAAGGTTCCATATCACAAAGGGAAGGCTGTAATTGATTTTGGGGGTAATTGCCTCAAAATTTTAGGAATTAGGGGCCAAAAAAGGGGCAAAAAACAAGCATTTTTCTAGTTTCATGACAATAACTTGTGTGTAAGTGTTTGGATATTTCTGAAATTGTACTACAAGGTTCCATATCACAAAGGGAAAGCTGGAATTGAGTTTGGGGGTAATTGCCCGAAACGTTTAGGAATTGGGGGCCAAAAATAAGCATTTTTCTAGTTTCCAGACAATAACTTGTGTTCAAGTGTATGGATCTCTCTGAAATTGTACTGCAAGGTACCATACCACACAGGGAAGGCTGGGATTGAGTTTGGGGTGATGAATCATAAGGGGGTTCAAAAAATTTGGGGGGGGGGATTTTTTTTTTTCTTTTTTTTTCTTTTTTTCCTTTTTTTTTTCTTTTAAAATTTTCCATTTTAAGTTGGTTATTTCTGATTGATATTTAAAAGCAAATAATAATGATATGGTAGGAGATACACACCAAACAGGATGTGTAAATTATTATATAATAAGTATTGTGCAATAGCAAGAAATTTTCAATTGCACAGTATTGCACAATTGCAAGAAATCTTCAATTGCACAGTATTGCGCAATAGCAAGAAATCTTCAATTGCACAGTATTGCGCAATAGCAAGAAATATCCAATAGCACAATATTGCGCAATAGCAAGAAATTGTCAATTGTACAGTATTGCACAATAGCAAGAAATATTCAATTGCACAGTATTGTGCAAAAGAAGATACTTCGTATAAATTGCTTATTTCTTGATCAATTTCAATGGGGTTTTATTCTTGAATTCTTGGGGTTCTTTAATATGCTGAATCTAACCGTGTATTAAGTTTTTGGATTTTGGGCCCCGTTTTTAAATTGGTCCACATTGAGGTCCAAAGGGTCCAAAATTTAACTTTGTTTGATTTCATCAAAAATTGAATTATTGGGGTTCTTTGATATGCCGAATCTAACCGTGTATTTTGATTCTTAATTTTTGGTTCCGTTTTCAAATTGGTCTACATTAAGGTCAAAAGGGTCCAAAATTAAACTAAGTTTGATTTTAACAAAAATTGAATTTTTAGGGTACTTTGATATGCTGAATCTAAACATGTATTTAGATTTTTGATTATGGGCCCAGTTTTCAAGTTGGTCCAAATCGGGGTCCAAAATTAAACTTTGTTTGATTTCAACAAAAATTGAATATATGGGGTTCTTTGATATGCTGAATCTAACCATGTATTTAGATTTTTGATTTTTGGGCCCCGTTATCAACTTTGTCCACATTGAGGTCAAAAGGGTCCAAAATTAAACTTTGTTTGATTTCATCAAAAATTGAATTCTTGGGGTTCTTTGATATGCTGAATCTAACCATGTATTTAGATTTTTTATTTGTGGACCCGCTATCAAATTGGTTCATATTGAGGTCAAAAGGGTCCAAAATTAAACTTTGTTTGATTTCATCAAAAATTGAATTATTGGGGTTCTTTGATATGCCAAATCTAACCGTGTATTTAGATTTTTAATTTTGGGTCCCGTTTTTAAATTAGTCTACATTAAGGTCCAAAGGGTCCAAAATTAAACTTAGTTTGATTTTAACAAAAATTGAATTCTTGGGGTTCTTTGATATGCTGAATCTAAACATGTGTTTAGATTTTTGATTATGGGCCCAGTTTTCAAGTTTGTCCAAGTTGGGGTCCAAAATTAAACTTTGTTTGATTTCAACAAAAATTGAATATATGGGGTTCTTTGATATGCTGAATCTAAACATGTATTTAGATTTTAGATTTTTGGCCCAGTTTTCAAGTTGGTCCAAATTGGGGTCCAAAATTAAACTTTGTTTGATTTCAACAAAAATTGAATATATGGGGTTCTTTGATATGCTGAATCTTACCATGTATTTAGATTTTTTATTTGTGGACCCGCTATCAAATTGGTTCATATTGAGGTCAAAAGGGTCCAAAATTAAACTTTGTTTGATTTCATCAAAAATTTAATTATTGGGGTTCTTTGATATGCCAAATCTAACCGTGTATTTAGATTTTAAATTTTGGGTCCCATTTTTTAAATTGGTCGATCTACATTAAGGTCCAAAGGGTCCAAAATTAAACTTAGTTTGATTTTAACAAAAATTGAATTTTTGGGGTTCTTTGATATGCTGAATCTAAACATGTGTTAAGATTTTTGATTATGGGACCAGTTTTCAAGTTGGTCCAAGTTGGGGTCCAAAATTAAACTTTGTTTGATTTCAACAAAAATTGAATATATGGGGTTCTTTGATATGCTGAATCTAAACATGTATTTAGATTTTAGATTTTTGGCCCAGTTTTCAAGTTGGTCCAAATTGGGGTCCAAAATTAAACTTTGTTTGATTTCATCAAAAATTGAATTATTGGGGTTCTTTGATATGCCAAATCTAACCGTGTTTTTAGATTTTTAATTTTGGGTCCCGTTTTTTAAATTGGTCTACATTAAGGTCCAAAGGGTCCAAAATTAAACTTAGTTTGATTTTAACAAAAATTGAATTCTTGGGGTACTTTGATATGCTGAATCTAAACATGTGTTTAGATTTTTTATTATGGGACCAGTTTTCAAGTTTGTCCAAGTTGGGGTCCAAAATTAAACTTTGTTTGATTTCAACAAAAATTGAATATATAGGGTTCTTTGATATGCTGAATCTAACCATGTATTTTGATTTTGGACATTGGACCATAATAGGTAAATTAAAAAAATTGAAGTTCTTAGACAACATTCTTTCTGTGTCAGAAACCTATGCTGTGTCAAATATTTAATCACAATCCAAATTCAGAGCTGTATCAAGCTTGAATGTTGTGTCCATACTTGCCCCAACTGTTCAGGGTTCGACCTCTGCGGTCGTATCAAGCTGCGCCCAGCGAAGCATTTTATTTTTCTAGGAGTTATGCCCCTTTGCACTTATTGGCCTCAATATACTACTGCACAGTTTGTCATCGCAACTCCTCTGAAACCACACAACAGAATTTCATGAAACTTTGTTGATAATAAGGACATACTATGTAGACGTGTATATCGACAGGAAATTATGATTCAATTTTTTTTCTAGGAGTTATGCCCCTTTGCACTTATTGGCCTCAATATACTGCTGCATCAGTTTGTCATCGCAAGTCCTCTGAAACTACACAACAGAATTTCATGAAACTTTGTAGATTATAAGGACATAATATGTAAATGTGCATATCCACAAGAAATTTTTATCAGTTGACTTTTGTTGGAGTTATGAGTCTTTGAACTTAGGAATCTGGTGAGATTTTGTTTACCCGGTGACAATGTGGGGGCGTGGGGTATGTGGCATGCTCACTAAGGTTCTTTAATTTACTATGCTTTATACTAATTTCATGGTTGCAGATTAGTACAAGGGTTTAGTGTGTAGTGAGTTTTCATGGCTCAGGTTCACATGGTTTCCTGAATGACAGTAAAAGAGCTTCTGTTAGTTGATATGATTTTAACTTTGTAGATGAATTAGAGATCTGTCTAGTGATAAGAAAAACACATTTTTGACAAAGACAAATTTTATTCAAATAGTTTTGTATGTGTTAAGTATATCATTTATAATATTGGAATGTTTTAATTTCAGATTAGCAGTATTGGTAAATAAGTGAACCCATATTGGATGCCCTTTGTTTCTATGCATTTTAAGATTAGCTATATATGGAGCTTAGTGGTCTAAGTAGTTCTTTGACAGTGACCACTAGCCTGTCAACTCTGAGGTTGTGAATTTGAACCTAGTCATTGCAATTATGGTTCTACTCCAATGTTAATTGATTAGTATTGCCAGTTTTTTTCTGCCAAAAGTCATAGTTCTCTCCAGGTACTCTGGCTTCTTCCACCAATTAAAAAAAAAACTGGCCCCTATGAAATAGCCTAGAGTATTGAAAGTGGTGTTTAACACCAACAATCAATCAATTAGATTAGCTGTATTGGTAAAGCTAGTGAGACCATACTGGATGACATTGTTTTATCTGTATTTTAAGATCAGCTGTATTTGTTATGTTTATGCTTGTGGTTTCCTTTTATTTTCAGATATTATTATAGAGCTATTGGGAAAGTGTGTGAGACAATGCTGGATCCAATTTATTTTTTTGATAATTTCAAATAGTGTTATTGGTTTTTATATTTTTATAAACAATGGTATTAGTCAGGTGAGTGAGAACATGTTGGATATTAAATGATGAAGTTTTCTTTAAATTTTCAGATTAGTGGTATTGGTAAAGTGAGTGAGACAATGTTAAATGCCCTAGGTGTTTACACGTGTAAAGATTTGTATGAGCAGAGGGCACTGTTATATCACTTGTACTCGCCCATATCATTTAACTACTTCATGAGAATATGTCTTGGTATAGGCTCTACATTTGTTGAGAGGTAATTTTAATTTTGCAAAAAGTCACAATAAATTGTTGCTTTGCTAGACTTTTCCATACTCCAAAGTCCTAGTTGTTTAATTCAGAATTGTCCTAACTATCAGTAATTTCCCCTATTGTCCAGGTAGGGTTACAGTTCTTGTTATCTAGCACATTGAATATCTGACTAAAATTTTAATTTAAACAAATGTTTTATTAGATGAACTTATTGTTTTGTCCAAGTACCGTAGATGGTCGAATAGAAAAGAGAAATAAAAGTTAATATAAAAATATAACTCCAGACTTCAGTTGTATTGTTGAACCATGTGTGTAGTGTTGTGATGGAGTGTTTGCCACAAGTATGGGAAATATTGCGTCAAATCGCTGCCAGAATCAAACCAAAGACTTCAAAATTGTTATTACTGCCTCTCCACTCACTATGCAGCAGCAATGAGTAAGAGCAAAGGCTGGTCAACTTAAGAGTCTGAATGTTTCCAGATAGGATTACAGTTCTTTTTGATTGCTGCCTTTTGAGGTATCACATTAAATATCAGACTGAACAATTTTAAATAAAATGTTTTATTTGTTTCAGGGACAGTGAAAGAAAAAGCATCAGTACTGAAAGGTTAGTACACATTACTTGCAAAGCATGAACACTTAATTATGATATTGTTTAATTAGCTAAGGTGGTTGAATGGTCTGTGCGGATGAAATCTACATATCACTTGATGTCTCTTTCATGTATACTCCACCCATCCTTCTACTGTAAATTCAAAAATTAATAGGTGAATTTATTATACCCCCGCTTTAAAAAAGTAGGGGTATACTGTTTTACCTCTGTCTGTCCATCCGTCCGTCCGCCCATCTGTCAGTCCATCCATCAATATGTCAGTCCGTCCGTCCGTCCCATGAATATTTTCCGTTGCATCTTTCTCAGGAACTACATTACAAGGATTTCTGAAATTTGGTTTCAGGGTTTACTTTTGACAGCTATACTGTGTGATGCGTTTTCAGATTCATCACTCAACAACTTCCTGTTTACCTTATACTTTTAGTGGGCGGGGGTATCATTAGTGAGCATTAGCTCACAGGGTGTGTTCCCATTTCGCCTTAGCTGTGAATTCCAGGTAAAAAAGGTAAAAAAAAATACTAAGGCGATATGGGAGTTGAACTAAGGCGAAATGTGAATTTAGATAAAAAATTTAAATAAACAAATTGAACCTCTGTGTTTTTATAACAATTTAAACAACATGTAATTTAGAAAGTGTTTCTCTTGAATTATTATTTTTATATTCATTTATTAAAAGTGACAATTTTTATGATTTCAAAAGTTGTGAAATCAGAAAAAATCTTCAATAAAAACATTAGTCAGTACGAAAGTTGCTTCTCTTGTGTTTAATTTAATAAAAGTTGCAATTTTATGAATTTTATGCAATTAGAAAACTTTACATTATGCAACACAAAAAGTTAAAAAGAACAACAAAAATAAACTGTTTTCCCACAGACTTGTTAGCATATATATTAAACAAAAACTTTAATAAAAAAATAAAATAATAAAAAAATCTTTAAAATTGTGTTAATGTGCATCCAGAAATGCAGTTGCTCATGTCTTTCCAAACGCAGAACTCAAGGGTTGTTTGTTGCACTACGCAAAAGCCATATGGAAAAAGACACAAGAATATGGGCTTCAAACTCAATACAAAGATGTCCCGGATGTCAACAAACTCGTCCGTCGTGCAGCAGCCTTACCATTACTGCCCTTAGATCGTTTGGTTACAAGCCTTGGAAAACACACCACAGACAGATGCTTGCACCAAATTAACCGACTATGTAATTCTGACATGGATAGAGGGCAGATACCCACAACCAACCTGGAACCACCACCAAAATAGAAGGACCCAGGATAAATAATCATTTAAAGGGCTGGCATAACAAGCTGAAAAAGAGGGTCAAAACAGCACATCCAAACATATTTGAAATTATCAATGTGTTCAAGAAAGAGCAAGCAGCTAACGAGGTAAAGAAAGTACAGTATGCAGCAGGTGGCAAGATGAGGGGAAAAGCTAAAAAGTATAGAGAAGTAGAAGAAAGATTCACCACTTTGAAGGAAAACCTACATAATGGTACAACTGACTATATTCAGTATGGTGATGCAGCATCCTACATCCTTAAACTTGGAAACTAAATAAATTTTGAACATTCAAATGTGTACATCAGTGCCTTGTTTTTCACAATATGAACTATCATATATAGTACTATTTATTTATGTTTATGGAAATAATTCTTATGTTTTATGTATCAGTGCTTTTTTCTCATGCTATTATTTATTACATGTACATTTTCTCTATTAGTATGCTAATCTAAAATTGTGTATGCTTGTAATTCAGTGCTGATTCAGAAATAAAATATTTGTTATGATTGTGTTATATTTGTCTTTATTTATTCATTAAAATATGAAATATTCTGTATCCTATTTGTCATCTCTAATAAGACTTTATTTACAAAATATATCGCATAAGTAAAAAAATACATATTCAGAAAAAGAAGTGCAACTATGAAAAAGAATTATTTAAAAAGTGGGACAATCAGGTAGACACAAAAAATAAAAAAAAAAACATCTTTTAAAAAGTATTTCATGGCAGAATTTGGCATCAAAATAACAAATATCAACTAATTGCAATACAAACAAAAAATAACTTAATTACATTGTTTACACAAGCTCCCATTTCGCCTTAGTTAATTCTTTTTTACCTGAAAATTTGTACTAAGGCGAACTGGGATTAATTTTATATAATGATTTTGACAGCTAAGGCGAAATGAGAATAAGCCGCTCACAGATTCACTCGTTATTATTGCAAATCACTGGGGGGGGGGGGGGGGGGGGGGGAATGTGGGATTTAATTAATGTAATTGCAAAAACTTGTGAAAGAAAATATCTCTGAATTTATTAATGTGAGATTTTATTGTTGGGAACCTGATACTGTTGCATTTTTTCACATTTATTAAAACATCACAATAACTTCTGTATTTACAGTATTAAACTACCTACTGTTCCTTTGAATAAATGTCAGAGCATGCCTTGAGATGGTTGCCTGTTGTTACATGCATATATCTTCATTTCCAGTTCTTTATTTCTTGTTCTCCGGGTAATATCATTGTTCAAGTAAACAGTTTATCAATTACATCAGAATCAAAGTATTATTTTAGAGTTTTACATAAACTCAGTAAACCAGTTGAGTTATATAGTAAATCAGCATTATTATTTTTACAGAACATTCAATGAGATTAGTAAACCAGTAGAGTTATATGCTAAATGTGAAGAACTGAGTGAAGCATTGTCTGAAGATTTAAAAGATGAAGAGTTAAAGGTCAATTCATAGTTATTTGTTAACATAGCTGAATAAAAGAAGATATTGGGTTAACTTCAATAAGACAGCAACTAAAAAACATGAGGTAAACAGAACAGATACCAGTCTTCAAAATCTGCAATCGCCTAGATCAGTGGGAATTAGATATTACCAAAAACATGGCGCAAATATATAAATTTTGGAAAAAGTATTTAAAAAAACAAGAGACCATTCAACCATTGACTGGGTACCTTACTTTTGACAAGCATGTTTTTTAAATGTTTGGGGTATTAACAATGTTTTATAAAACAGTCTTATTTGCCAGGCTTTTTAAAAAAAGGCAATTAAAAATGAAAGGCATTGCATCACAAACAAATGAACTTGGCAATGAAATCAGAGGAAGCAGCTTTGACAAATGATCATAATCAACTAAATATTCTTGACACTTGGGTTTTAAATCAATTATGTGAGAACTCTGTCCTCTGCCTTGAAAAAAAAACATTTTATTCTATTAATTTTTAGGGTAAAACAGTTTCTATAAAGATAAAAACAGTTGAATTTGAAGTGAAGACAAGAGCACACACTTTGAAAGACTACACTAGTGACAGTGATTTAATTTATGCTGCAGCAAAAGAATTACTGAGGGTTGAAATACAGGCTGTAGCACCTAACCCTCTTAGGCTTAGACTTATGGGTAACATATATTATTTATAGAGAACAAATACAATATGTAGCATCTAAACCTCTCAGGCTTAGATTTTTTATTAGTATACATGTATTGATCTGTTGAAAGAGTAGAAATATGAAGTATAGTACTTAAGCCCCTCAGACTTATAATAGTTATAGAGTAGAAATATAGCCTAACTACCTTTAAGACAAACTTTTGTATGATATATTTATGGAATGTTGCAAAAACATCTTTTAAATCTCTTAGACAAGGACTTTCATTTTTTTATCATGTTTATTGAAATAGAGTCTGCAGTCTAAAGTTTTAAGTGGATCATCACTATGTATATCTTCAGATAGAATGTTCTTATACTTTGCCAAAATGTAGATTTTACCATGCTTTTTTTTTCATAATAAGAAATGTGGGTCACCATGCTATTTTTCAAGTTATAAGTTATACAAATTGCCCAATTTTGCACATATTATTCATGGCACTTCTGTTCATTATTTGAATTGAACTGTCTGTGGATAGGAGCTTGATGTTTTTATATCATTTTGGGGAAAATTAAACGATTGCTGTACAAGTTAACACCCCCATGTATAATACCAAACATAATAATTCACACATTTGTTTTGATCTTTTATATTTTATATAGATAAATATGACCTTAGGCTTTGTGTTGTACCCTAACACTATTAATAGAGATTGTCTTATTTACTAATTAAAATGATCATTTTAATAGGAGTTAGAATGTCAAGTTTGTTACATCAAAACCTGTGTAAAAAGAAGCAGAATACAATTACTGGATTTATCAAACGTATGGGAGCAGTCAAACAGAAACAACAGGAATACAGTGACAGTGCTATGTCTGAAAGTGAAAGTGAAAGTAAAAATGCAGAGAGCACTGTGTATCAGGAACAAACCTTAAAAAAGTCACATGTTTGTATGGTCACAGAACAAAATTTGGAAAGGTCACATGACTGTTTTTCCACAGGAGTTAAAAATGTTGAAATACCTGTCAAAGATGAGTCATCAGATGGTGAACAAAATGATGAAAGACATGTAGATTTTGATATAAGTATGATAAAGTGCACCAATGAGAAAGTTTCAGATGTCATAAAAAGGGATGCCATGCCTCATCAAACAAAATCTCACAGGGAAGATATCAAATTACAGGAAACTAGTATATTAATTCAAGGAATTAGGGAAGACATTGCAAATGTTAAAGAAAAAGAATTGAAAAATAGCATTGGTGAAAGTAAAGACTTGAGTAATGAGAGCTGTAATAATCAGGATTGTACAATTTCTACAAATACTGCATTGGACAGTTATGTTTGTCCTGTGTGTCAGGATTGTATTGAATGTAAAGACCTTACAATGTTTAATCAACACATTGATGTCTGCTTGAACAAAAAAGTTGTAAAGGATTATTCAAAAATTGCAAATGACGAGGACAGATCTTTTAAGAAATTCTTCTCCCCAAAAAAGAAATCTAAATCTTTGCCAAAAGCTAAAGCCAAGAAAAATACAGTTCAATTTACTCCAATTTCATCGTCTTTAGTATCACAGTTTTGCAAACAAAATATTGAAAAAAGTTATGAAACTTCAAAAGAAGAGAAAGAATTGAAAAATTCTGAAGGATTGATTGTTGACATTGATTCTGATTCTGAAAGCAATTCAGAAAAATCTATTTCAGTTAAAAAATCAAAAACTGTCAGTGTCAGCAACAAAACTAAAGGAAAACAACTAAAGAAAGACAGCACTCCATCTAGAACTGGCAGTCCTAACAAAGAAAATAAAGGGAAAAGTTCAGAAATAAACCAAAGTCTCTCCATTCAAGGTTCATTCCAAGATTGTTGTGATGGACCATATTTGCCATCTGGAGATGCAGACTCAATGTTGTCTGTTAAATTGAGCAATTCTAAATCAACCAATGATGAGATGGAGAACTTAAATTCATCTAAGTATTTGATATGTCCTGTATGTTTTATGGAACAGAAAGGCAGTGATTTGGATATTTTCAATGAACATGTGGATACATGTTTATCTAAAGATGAGATTTCGAAAATTGTTAAAAGTGAGAACAGCGTCCTTTCAAAACCACAGAAAAGTGAGAAAAAAATAATGTCAAAACCACAAAAAAGGTATGTGTTAAGGGAACAGAAAAAATTACCCATTAAATGAGTACCAATAGAAATGTTAACCATTTTTTAAATGAAACAGAAAAGAAAAACTTAAATATGTCACTCTTCTTTTGTTTTATCAAAGTTGTGTTTTAATTCCTACACCCTACAACATATAGAATAAAATCCTTGATGTCACAATTGAAATTCCTGCAAAACAGGAGGCAAAAATGGGGGAAACACATTTTCTGAAACATTTCCACAGATTTTAAAATGTAAATACAGTAAACATACTTTGTTATGTATATATTTATAACTACATAATGAAAGTTAACAACAATAGTAACAGTATTCAGCAACTACTCTAGGTACAATATCTTACACCTTATTATTTTACAGGATTCCAAACAATACAATACTCACAGCTTTAGCCATAAACACAATGAATGTAAATTGTCTGTGTACAGATGCATAGTTTGTCTTTTTGCTTGTTTCTTTGTATTTGAGAGGATGTATGTAGGATTGACCCTGCTATCTGATCCATCCCAGTTATTTTTTTCATTTTTTTGATAAAAAATGATTAAATTAAAGTCAGCCATATGAAAATATTTTTAAAAAATTAATGTTAGGCCAAAAAAATTAATACATGTGTTTCTGATAACCCTGCCTACCCTAACACTTTTTATGCCATTTTGGAACAAGCACTGTTAAAGTCAGACTGATTCCCTAGTAGTAACCAGCTAAAAAATGTTTGTAAAATAAAATGATATTGCCTACCTACCCTATTTTTTTTCAGCACGTTAGCGGAAACACATGTATTATTTTTTTTGGCCGTATATATAATAGCCTTTAAAAAATGTTTATTGACTAAATGTCGCCAAATTAAAAAAAAAAGCACCATTTCTGGCATGCAATATTGAAATTCAATTAATTTTGAAACAATGACATGTTATTTTATTTACATAGATTAGTGATGTTCATGTAAAGGCCATATTAAAAAATCCTTGATTCTCACCCCTTCTTCTATTTTTTGCAAAAGTTGGATGAGAATCAATGAATTATTTTTTTTATAATACTCTAATCAGAAAAATGGTGATTTTATGAAAGCAAGTCATTGTTGATCCTTAATTAGATTACAAATTTTAAAAAACACAAAATAAAACTTCCCCTAGAAACAGAAAATTTATGTCAAACTACATATGAAATGAAGAGTTTAATCAATACGATTGAGGAAGGTTTTAAAAGTGATAATATTTGATAATGACAATCAGCATGATCATTCTGCAAATCAGTATACCTCTGACAACCAATAAACAAATATATATGTCAAGCTGGTATGGTTATAAATAAAATCTCAACATAACTGAGAGAAAGAAACATCTTTATATTCTAATATGTTTTCACATTATGTAATAATTCAAATCCTTTTTTCAGAACCTTGGATTCACCTTCAGGAAAGCAAGGAAATAAAAGGCAAAGGACCAAAAATGACATTCGAACCATTGAGTCTTTCTTTAAATCTTAATCATTCCATTAATATATTGCTTTCATTCTACAGTGCATTATTGTAATAAGATTTATAGAACATATATTTTGTTTTCAAAAATAGTACATGTACATGTACCAATAAAATCAGTCTTTTTTTTTTCTTTTTTTTCCTGAACTCAAGATGAACAGACTGGTTTTCTTTTATACAGGATAAAAAATATTGGGATAGTATGAATAAAAGGAAATGTTAGGCATACATCAATGAGACATCTACCCCAACAACAAAAATAACCAAAAGACATCTAGAGGGTAACATAGTCTTCAAAAATAGACAGGTCTTTATACAGTATGTGAAAAACTAAATTGTCTAGAGTATAAAAGTTGTGAATAAATCTAACAGAAAACCATCAACACAGAAATCTATAAATAACAAAACACATTAAGATATGACATAAGACAACCACTAATGAGTTTAGTAGAGATCCATGGGTCATGCTTCCTCTGACGAGGTTAGTAGAGATCCATGGGTCATGGTTCCACTGACAAGGTTAGTAGAGATCCATGGGTCATGGTTCCACTGACGAGGTTAGCAGAGATCCATGGGTCATGGTTCCACTGACAAGGTTAGCAGAGATCCATGGGTCATGTTTCCACTGACGAGGTTAACAGAGATCCATGGGTCATGTTTCCACTGACAAGGTTAGCAAAGATCCATGGGTCATGGTTCCACTGACGAGGTTAGCAGAGATCCATGGGTCATGGGTGGGTTTTCTACCATAAGGAAACACTGATATGATATAGCAGGACTATCTCCTCCAACTCTTAGCAAAATGTAAATAAATACTCTTCATAGTATCTTTAAATTGTTCCAAGAATGGCTAGATATTTGTGAAATGAAGCTTAACTTTCAATATCTTAAAAGACTTCATATTATTATTAATGTAAAAAAAAGGGGGGTAGATGATACCAAGGGGGCAATTAAAAACCATAAGGTAAACAAGAAAAACATGGAACACCATTGTTAAAAAAAAAAAAGAACAGACAAATAATAGTTCTTAAAACACAACAGAGAAAACTAAAGATTAAGCATCACACAACCAAAAACCAGACGGACAATTCAGATTTTCCAGACATTTAAGAAGTTCTTGCACAACCTAGTAGCACCATTCATGTTGCTGATGGCAAGTAAAATTCTGTCTAAAAATTAATTATTACCCTCATTGTTTGAATATAACAAAAAATTGTATAAATGGGTAGAAGGCAAGGCTTTGCCCAGCATTTCTATCCTGTTTTGCACTGTATACAGTCTGATAAGGTCATTGAGGTTACAAAGCTATCTGTTTATTTAAACAACTTATTCTCATGTTACTTTAAAAGCCAAGATCTTTTCCTTGCTCTATGATCATTCAATAGAACTTTACCATAAGGAGTATGACATATGTGAGAATAGAGGAGGAGTTGTTTACACCTACAGGTTATACAGAACTTTTTTTAGAGAGTTAAAAATTTCTCATTTATTAGATTTTGGCTTGTCTGTCCATAGGCCGTTTTGAGAACTGCTCAATAGAATGAAACAGTTTGACATTTGTATAACTATTGTGAACTTTGGAAATTGAAGGTTAATATAAAAGCAAAATAAAAACAAATATGGAGCAAAGATCAACGGTTTACATTGAAACCCTATAAAATTTAACAATTTGCCTTACTGATGTGAAATGAAAACAAACCACTCAGAAATGTACCTTTAACAGTACTTACCATGTGTTGCTAAGTGGTCCGGATGAAAAGTCTTATATCGCTTTAAGGAGCCAAAAAAAGAGGTCTAATTGTTCCAAGTTTCAAAGATCTCAAGAACAATTGGACAATTGGAAACCAAACTTGTCTTAAGTATATGTTCCATATGTTACTACTTTGGTTCCAGTGAGAAACCTGCATTTGCTATTTGGGGAAAAAAAATATATAGTCCATGTTACCCCAACTCTTAACTTTCATTAAGGAAGTGAGACAACTGCATCACCAAATATTTACCAAGACAACATACTACTCATGAGAGAAGGAAAAAGAGAGATAAAATATATTTCATAGTAAAGGGTGAAGACAATAACCAAGGTAAATACAAATGTCTTGCTTTTAGTAACAGACAAATTAATTTAAAACAAGAGGTTAGAACTATGAAACTACACGATGCTACGTTTTGTGGCTGTGTTTACGAACAGAATGGCTGCATTGCTAAGAAAACTGAACCAATTGTGTTCCTCTTCCAATCGACATGTTCCTTTATTCATATGAGACAGACTTAATCCTGATATAATCTATTCATGCTTCTTGGCAAAACCCCTAGAAGGTTGAGCGCTCACAAACATGTTTAACCCCGCCACACTCTGTGCCTGTCCTAATTCAGGAGCCTGTAGTTCAGTGGTTGTCGTTGTTCATTTCTGTCATATTTATTTTTGTAATATGTTTTGTTATGAATAAGGCTGTTAGTTTTTATACAACCGCAAACAAATTTTTGTGGTCGTATATTGGTATGACGTTGGCGTCGTCGTCGTCGTCGTCCGAAGACACATTAGTTTTCGCACTCTAACTTTAGTTTAAGTGAATGGATCTCAATGAAATTTTACCATAAGGTTCAATACCACAAAAGGTATTTTTAAATTGGTTATTTCTGATTTATATATAAAAGCAAATAATAATGATATGGTTTGAATAGGTAAATTAAAAAATTTTAAGTTCTTAGACCACTTTCATTCTGTGTGAGAAACCTATGCTGTGTCAAATATTTAATTACAATCCAAATTCAGTGCTGTATCAAGCTTGAATGTTGTGTCCATACTTGCCCCAACTGGTCAGGGTTCGACCTCTGCGGTCGTATCAAGCTGCGCCCCAGCGGAGCATTTTATTGTCGTTTGCATTGTTATACATTTTTCATGTGGGTGACTTTTATAGCAGAATAATGTATAGGTTTTTCTCATTGTTGAAGACCGTATGGTGGCCTATAATTGCTTACATTCACTTTAATTTGAACTCTGGTGGATAGTTGTCTCATTGACAATCATTCTACATTTCCTTATTTTCATAACAAGACAGTTGATCTTAAACTCTTATATTACCAAATCTGTACAAAACTTTTTAGAGTTGACCAGAATTCTGTAAGCTATTTTTTGTCGAGCCTGCGACTTTTGTCGCAGAAAGCTCGACATAGGGATAGCGATCCGGCGGCGGCGGCGGCGGCGTTAGCTAACTTTTTAAAAGCTTTATATTTTAGAAGATGGAAGACCTGGATGCTTCATACTTTGTATATGGATGCCTCATGTTACGAAGTTTCCGTCAGTCACATGTCCAATGTCCTTGACCTCATTTTGATGGTTCAGTGACTACTTGAAAAAAAAGTTCAGATTTTTTGTAATGTTAAATTCTCTCTTATTATAAGTAATAGGATAACTATATTTGGTATGTGCGTACCTTGCAAGGTCCTCATGCCCGTCAGACAGTTTTCACTTGACCTCGACCTCATTTCATGGATCAGTGAACAAGGTTAAGTTTTCGTGGTCAAGTCCATATCTCAGATATTATAAGCAATAGGTCTAGTATATTCGGTGTATGGAAGGACTGTAAGGTGTACATGTCCAACTGGCAGGTGTCATCTGACCTTGACCTCATTTTCATGGTTCAGTGGTTATAGTTAAGTTTTTGTGTTTTGGTCTGTTTTTCTTATACTGTATGCAATAGGTCTACTATATTTGGTGTATGGAATGATTGTAAGGTGTACATGTCTAGCTGGCAGGTGTCATCTGACCTTGACCTCATTTTCATGGTTCAGTGGTCAAAGTTAAGTTTTTGAGTTTTGGTCTTTCTTTCTAATACTGCATGCAATAGGTCAGCTATATTTGGTGTATGGAATGATTGTAAGGTGTACATGTCTAGCTGGCAGGTGTCATCTTACCTTGACCTCATTTTCATGGTTCAGTGGTCAAAGTTAAGTTTTTGAGTTTTGGTCTTTTTTTCTAATACTATATGCAATAGTTCAACTATATTTGGTGTATGGAAATATTTTATGATCTATATGTCAGTCACGCAGGTTTTATTTGACCTTGACCTCATTTTCAAGGTTCATTGCTCAGTGTTAAGTTTTTGTGTTTTCGTCTGTTTTTCTTAAACTATAAGCAATAGGTCAACTATATTTGTTGTATGGAAGAATTGTTAGCTGTACATGCCTGCCTAGCATGGTTCATCTGACCTTGACCTCATTTTCATGGTTCATTGGTCAATGTTTAGTTTACTTGGTTAATGTTAAGTTTATGTGACAGTTGTAATAAAGCTTTATATTTAGGACTATCAACATAATATCAATGATTAGTAAAGAAGGCGAGACATTTCAGCGTGTGCACTCTTGTTTATTTTTCATGTCTTAATTTAAAACTCGTGAATTAAAATTTTAACCAGCCTATCATTACATTTAATGTGCATTGAAAAAAAACATTATCATCAGTTTCACGATAAAAATGCCACGAATCTGAATTTTTCATAGAATAGAAACGTGTGCGAGTATGTAGCCAATCAAAAGTTCAGCAGTAAAACCCATGCAAACAGGGGGATGTTAGTTTGATCAGAGACATATAGTCTCTGGTTTGCTAATGTAGCATGTACGTTTTTTATACCCATACAGTATCCTAACATGTCCCCTTTTCCCGGTGGTAGTTTAAATCTTCCATCCGACATTCCAATCGACCAATTTTGCAAAGGCTTAATTTACTTCAATTTGTTCTCGTTATGAACACTGATGGAAGTATCTATCGTAGGCAATTCCTAAACAAGTAAGCTTATGATAGAGAATATCATATGTCTTTTTCAATAATACACCCGAATCAACCCGAGGCACCAATATAATCCGCAAGAGCTTTGCGTGATATTGCAAAAGCAATATCATATACCTCAAGTAGATTTTTTTCAAGTGACAAGACGTCATACAGATTATGGGCTTGACGGTGACAGATATCGATATCATCACGGATGGATGATACAGCCGGATTGTCATTGTTTGTGTTACACATACAATTTAGTGTATAAACTACTAGTATTTAATAAATGCATTTCAGTAAAAAGCTGAGTGTGAAATATGACTAGATCTATCATGTGTAAGCTTCCATTCATCAGTAGGGGCGGATCAAGGATTTTTGAAAGGAGGGCGTAATACCAGAAAACGTAATAGATTTCTTTGGACAATTTTATGCTCAAGAATGAAGTAAATCGTGAGAAACACGAGATTTAGAAAAAAAATTGCGATCAAGGGGGTATGCCCTCTACGCCCTATCCTTGTGGATCCGCCACGTGCACTGAGCTGTATACTTCAGAAGACCCTCAAGGAACAGTCCTCGTGTTAATACTGTTCCTACGGTCCATATTTAGATGATAGATGATCATATGACTTAGGAGATGAGGCATTATGCAGACGACTGTGTGTTCCGAGCTATAGGGAAATGAGCAACAACAAAGACTGATGGTGGCTACAAAACCATATAGACACCTCATGTACGCGGGCTGAAACTGTTGCGTGTTCAGCCTCTCAAATGCAACATGACCCGAAGTCGCAAAAAAAACACCACAAAACTTGAGTATACCTCGAAAAGAATAGAAGTTTGAGGATATATGTGTAACAAATCTTATAGAACCATTAAGTTGTTAAAACGATTTATTATATACTTAGTAGTAAATACATGTAAATTGTATATGTAATACGATCAATGGCAATCGTGCTGTATCAGCCATCCGTGATGATATCGATATCAGTCACGGTTGCAAAGGCTTTATCACACCCTTAATCGGTATGACGTCACGTCATCGACATCAGTCATCAAACCCCTAATATGTATGACGTCACGTCACATGAAAAAAACATCTACTTGAGATATATAATAAAGTGTATATGATATGGTTTTTTTTCAATATCACGCACCGTATCAACCCTCAACCCAAACTCCGAAACAGTGGTGACGTTGCTTCGCTAAACTAAAGTCAACGTAGCGTCAGTAAGGAGGACGTAACCGCTGTTTCGGAGTTTGCCCTCAACCAATATAATCCATCGAGCAGAGCTCTTGGGATTATATTGGTGTCTCGGGTTGATATGGATGTGATATTTTAAAAGCCATATAATATTCTCTATATATGTCGTCATGTCCTATGGAGGTAAAGATACAGGTGTAGAAGAGACTAACTTCGACCTGTCCTATATTTCTCGCACGGTATGGGACTCATCAAATTTATTTGGAGCTTCGGTGACCGAGTGGTCTAAGTAGTTTACTTAATGTATGACTAGCCTGTCAACACTGATGCGAGTTCGAACCCTTCACGAGGCAGGTGCGTTCGACTCCAATCTTAATTGAGTTGGATAGCAAGTTTTCCTGCCGAAGGTCGAAGCATGCATGGTTCTCTCCGGGAAATCCGGGGATCCGGCTTCCTCCACCAGTTATTAACAATCAACCAACCAATCAAATTTATTTATACAGAGCAAACTAGAAACGCTCAGAAAAGAGCAGTAAGCTTATATAACATCTTACTACGGTTACGAACAAGGCAGTATGCCTTCCATCCTAAACCATGCAGATCAAACTAGAAACCCTGAAAGAAAGACAAAACAAAACAGACTGATTTATTTTGTCACTGAAAGGCATACACAATTTAGTAACAATAAAAAAATCAGCAGAAATCTTTAACGACCACAAAGAACAACAAAAAACATGCATAGTCAACACTTTTTCTGAATTACAATCAAGACGGACACTTTTAAATTGAGCTTCCCACAAACACTGTGGTTTTCCGTATATCATCACATATGAAATTCACCGGAAAAATCAACTAACTTGTTCTCACTGAGAAATTGTAAGGTGGTCCCCAAGTTGTAAGCCGGTAAATCCATTAACCTTGACACACGCGCGATGTAGTTATGTCAAAAGACTTGACATCGTATTCAATCAAAACCGAAAATGACTGCCACAAATCAATAGAATTTATATATCAAAAAATTGTGCTTAATTTATATTTCAGTAAATATCAATTTTACCAATATATGTTATGGGGTGTTTGAAATTTCGAATTGTGGACTGATAAATTGGTACCATCTGGGACTATTATACTAACAAATATATGATGTCCTAGGTATCATTACGACCTTCCTTAAAGAAGTTAGAACACTTTTTGGGTTGCCACCAAATTCTACTTCCATAGTAGTTCGATAAATCGTCCGTTTTAATTTTTTTATTATTAGTTTTATGTTTGTTTTTGTGAACAAGAAGAAGATTGAGCGAAAGTCCGAGAGATTAGAATTTATAGACAGAATGACGGTAGTGTTGGTTCATTTGACAAACCTCCATCTCTGGCTCAAAACAGCAAAATATGACAATGATTTACTAATCAATAGGGCATGATTTCTATAATTTATAAGAATTAGATTCATAATTGACGCGGGTCCTCGTATCCATAAAATTTCATGAAAAAATCGGCACACTGGTAACCCGCTTTTCGATATTTATAAGTGGAATTAAAGTCCGAGTCTCTGGTTTTGGCAGAGACATAACCCTTTTCGTGTTAAAAGAATATCTCCAAAACTATTTGTTTTATTTTTAAATCATTATTTTTTACCTTGCATATAGAATCTCTCAAGAAGAAATTACATAACTTCCAAACAAGGACCGAATTTGGCAATCAATTAAACGCATAACTTTGGGAAAGTTCAAAGCGCCGACGACCTTGCTTCGGAAGTTGATTGACTTCTTGTTTATTGCCTCCCCTGTCTTCTAATAAAGTAAATCACGTTGGCCTCTTGTTTATAGCTTCCCCTGCTCGCGAGAGGGCGCTTTGTAGACCACTTCCTTCATGACATCATTATGGCGTCTGATTAATCAAGTTACAACCCGTAACCACCTACGGCATATGAAGACCGGCTTAAAAAATAAGTTTTTGTTGGTTTTAAGAAAATGTCAGTTTCTACAGGAATAGTAGAAGAGAAATTAGACCTTCTCAGTTTAACAGACGATGAAGAGAACGAAGATTCGGACTACGAACCTGGCTTACCCGAGTTGCAGGGTGTTCTGTCAAAGTGGACAAACTATTTACATGGTTGGCAAGACCGTTATATTGTGCTAAAAGAAGGAACTTTAAGTTATTATAAATCTGAAAATGATACTGCATTTGGTTGTAGAGGTGCTGTCAGTCTGTCAAAGGCTAATGTCACGGTAGGTTAACAAACTTCATGATCACAAGACATGTTGTCATTTGGTTTGTTTACATGATGAATACATGGAAAAACTGAACTTTGACACAAATCAGATGCAAATCACTCATTAATACACATGATTCACAATTTGGGAAAGTAATGCACAGAGTATTCAGTTTGGTCCAATATGGGAAACGGTTTGAAATTGACATCCTAAATCAGCCACCTTTTGGAATCACACTTTCATTGACACTGGATAGTTGTTTTCAATATTGCATATGTATGTTTGTTCAGTAGATAAGTTTAAATATTTGTGATTTTGTGTGTAAAATAGTGGGTTTTTTTTACAACCTTCGTCACTAATAATAATTGTTGACAGTCAATTATTTCACAATCAAAACACTACATGTCTAAAGCTCAACCGAGCTGAGATGTTTAACCCCGCCGCATTTTTGCGCCTGTCCCAAGTCAGGAGCCTCTAGCCTTTGTTAGTCTTGTATTATTTTTAATTTTAGTTTCTTGTGTACAATTTGGAGTTTAGTATGGCGTTCATTATCACTGAACTAGTATATATATTTGTTTAGGGGCCAGCTGAAGGACGCCTCCGGGTGCGGGAATTTCTCGCTGCATTGAAGACCTGTTGGTGGCCTTCTGCTGTTGTCTGTTCTGTGGACGGGTTGTTGTCTCTTTGACACATTCCCCATTTCCATTCTCAATTTCATTATTTATTTATTTGTCTACTAGATGGGAAACCCTTTTATGGTATGCTTGTTACATGTAACATGTCCCAAGGATCACCACAGACAAATTTTCTAGGATGGAGCTTATAAAATAATTATTTGAACACTTGAAAAATATTTATAAATTTATCTCTTTTAATGCTCTAATATAGAAATACACATCTAATGTATGTGTACAAGGAATCCAGGTCTGTTCGCCCTGATTCATGTTTGCCCTAGTACCTGTTCGCCCTGGGTCCGTTTGCTTATACATGTACCTGTTCGCCCTGGGTCCGTTCGCTCTGATTTTTTATTCTATTTTGTTGTATTGTTGTATAATGCTTATTATTGGAAAAGAGTATGTTAAAATTTGTTGAAAATTTCACAGAATATTTATGTTGTATTGCTGCTACCAAATAACTATTTTCCTTTGATCTGTACTGTAGAGTACCATGCAGGAATACAAGATATTTAATATAAAACAACGGAAGACCATGTTATCTGCATGTATTTATCTTTATTGATAAATTTTAACAAATTTATAAAAATCATTAACAGTTATAACAAGATCCAATTCGAACCTAACATCACACACCAGTTATGTCCTTAATTTTTTTCTCTACACTATTATTTTAAAGAGCACATAATTATATAGTATATGTGTCAAATCGAACTTGAGATCAAAGAAGCCAAGCTGTGTGCGAAAAAAAATCCCATTTATGTCTTACAATTCGTACCACGTTGTTTTTACTCATTCCAAGCTGACTAGTAGTTTATTTTTAAGAAAAACTGTAACTTTCATTATTAATCCAACAGACAATTCATACAAAAATAAGTGAGCTCAAAGACATCATAATTATACCTAATCATCATTCTAAATTACAATCAATGGTCATTAAAATTAATTCCAATTAAAACAAATGTAAGAATAAAGCCCATTAATGCTCTAAAACAATGTTTTTTCATGAATTTCGAGAATATATATTTTCTTTAGTATTGATCATATAAATATCTGAATATGTTTATTAAACCTTAATACCACTATATTTATTAATTTTTTTTTAAAAGTAGGGCGAATGGACTGTATGGATGAAAGGACCCAGGGCGAACATGTAATCAGGGCCCAGGGACCCGATACCGTGTACAAGTACATGTGTCTTTATTTTATGACCAAAAAAAATAATTTGATAATATAGTCTAATGAATATATACAATAAACCATCAAGCAGACTAATGATTATTAATGAATATATACAATAAACCATCAAGCAGACTGATGATTATTAACTATTTCCAAAGTTTATTCTGAGATATTTAAAAGGGATGCAGCTGGAAATCCAAGGGTTGAGGATCACATTGCACGCTGCCCCATCCATAAATAACCTGTGGTGATCCCTGACCATTTTACAGTCATCATTGGGTTTTCACAATAAGGTACAATGTAGTTGGTAGTCCAGGAAAGATAAAAAGTTTAAGACATTAAAATTATTTACAAGTACTTTGTATAAATTTTTCATTTTTTGTTAGGGGGGAATATATATAAAATAATAAATAATTATGAAATTATAAAGCAAAATAAGTTTTTTTGATTTAAATAATAAATTGCCAGAAATTACATAAAAGGCATCAATTTTTCTGGACACCTGATTTTTTTATGTGATTTATCCCTCAGAATATGAAGTATTTCGGACGTCAGAGGGATCAGTCTAGCAACTTATTCATTTCTGGAAGAGCTGCTCACCAAATTTGATATTCAGACTCGAGTTCCGAGGGAGGACCCAATTTTCATTTATAAAAATACTAATAATTTGCAATTGTTGGTTAAAATAGTGGCTTTTGGTAAATGTTTAAAACTTTCAGTATTGTTTTAATTAAATTCTCACTGTACTTGTTTAACTGACTCTACTGTGCATGCATACATCATACTGGGTAGTGGGTATATGTTCATGTATATAATATAACATTAAATGTACATGTATATTGCTGTTGGAAACTGGACACATGTATACAGTTACTCTGTCACATTAATAATTCGTGTGTGATTATACATATTTAATGGACAGATAACAGATATTGGTGTCAATTTACATCAGCATTGTCAATTACAAGAAATTGATCACAGTAAATCCATCACCATAATAAAAATAATATATTGTTATTGAAAAAAGCAAAATTGTTAAAAATTTAAGGAATGTCCTGCTAAATTATATATATTAAGGTTAACAATTATTAAGAACCTTCAAAGATCCTGATGATTTTTACATGTTTATAGGTCATGTAGGTTGGAAATAATTATGATCAAAGAAATGCATAAAATTTATCAAGCAGTTTGATCATGTTATTTTAAAAAGGTTCTTTGTTGTTTATAGTATAATTCTCAGTGTGTTGATGTTTAAAAAAATTGTTCTACAGATATTATGCTTATCAGAAATTTTGAAAACATCAAGTAGCACCCGTCTGTCTGACTGTTTGGTTCTAGTACGCTCTGTGCTAAAGTCAAGGAAGATTGTTTACAACAGTGTCCTTTATAAATGTAATAAATGTATAGATTTACTCAAGTTCAGTTAACATGGTTAAGGTTAAAACAAATTTAGATCATTCTTTGATTTATATGTAAAACTAAATACCTAATGAATAAAACTATATATAAAATGGCACAAATTCATACCCACTTATAAAATATTCTTAGCAGTTCAGTAAGTTTCATCTTTAAAGACTTGATACACTTCATGACTTTATGTACATTTTGTATTTTAAATCAAATCCCAAGCAAATAAAAAAAAAACAACATTACAACATTATAATGTGAGTATTATTACACCTTGAGGGCATTAGCCCGAAGGGGTGTATTTTATTTAAACCAAGATATTATTGTCAATGCAGAATGATAGTTTTCAATAATTTTGGAGGGGGTCTTTCAGCGATTTGACCATATGTTATTGAAAAGCATGATATTGATAAATGCAGGGTATCCAATTTCATTAAACCACATCTTGGTGTACATTCAGTTAAGTAACATGAAGTACTATTATATAATCAAAATCTGAAAAGGTGTTAGTTTAAAGTATATCCAAATATAGGTTTTTCAAAAGAAGTCTTAACATTTACTTAATTATAATTTATAAATAAATTATATAGTTTTGTCTCATGCAGATAAAATAACAACATAAGTAAGTTTTAATGATAGGATACAAGTTAAATGTACATTGTTCAATTTCATTCTAATGTCATTGAACTTGAGGTTAACCTCTTATCATTACAGATGTTTTGTGTAGGAGATCTGAGTCACACTTTGATAAGCATTTTTTTTATCTCAATGATTTTGAATGTACATTGTAAAATACCTTATGTTTGATTCAATGATTGATGGAAAACTATGATAATATCTGTTGGATTTTCTTATGTTACATGTACAATGTACCTACACACATATTTTCTTCCTTTGATGATTTCGTAAATTCTGTCATCAAATTGATATGACTAAGTCACTTAAATTTTATGTTGACAAGGGCCTTTTATTCCCCATACATTAAATTTTTTAGCAATATTGACAAGTCAATCTTCTCAAAGTTTCTGAAAGTGAAAAGCCCATGTTGTGTCTTTGTGAGGTTTCAAAAGTTTGCCCCAACTTTATTTAATTTTGGCAGTATAAACAACAATGTCAAACTGTTTTGACTAAACATAAAATGCAAGGTTCAAAAACTTCTTTGTGGAAGATAACACTGACATTTATAGGAAAAAACTTTTAACAGATTAAAATGTTGTAAAATGTCAGCCACTCAACACAGTATGAGTCTTCGTACTTTTATTGCTCAATTGCCAAATAGTATTCATATTTTATATTTTAGGATATCTTTATGAAGAAAACTGAATAACCTGTGATCTTATGTTAATATACATGTACTTGATAAGTTATTTAATCTTGTACAAACATAAAATTAAATTTTATTCATTTAGAAATACATCTATACATACATGTATTTGATATAAATTTGTGTAGGAGTGTAGAAGGCAGTTTAGATCTCTGAAATTTAAAAAAAAATGTTTTTAGTATAAACTAGGTTGACTTATTTACATCATAAATTTCTTTCAAAAAAGTCTAGTGAATAATCACATTATACAAAATAAGTTTAGGTTTAATTAGGCTTTTCATCTTGAACAATAGTTACACCCCAGTTATATTGTTATACTTCATAGTTTCTATTTATGAAACAAGTGTAAATTGAATAGATCAATTGTTACGAATAACAATGGATTTTGACCACAGGGTGTGACGAGTGGGGTTTCTGGAAACCCCTGCTTCTACATCCCGAAAACAAAATCCATTGTTATTCATTACAATGAATAGAAATTGATTATTTTTTAAATAGCATACACATAAGAAATTACTAATAGTGTTCACTACAAGTTGTTTCAAGATATTTTAAAACACATTTAAGGAAATTCCAATAGCAAAAAAAATATTAAGCATCTATTTTGAATAAAAAAAAATCCTTCAATGGAAAAATAATTTGATTGATAGCGTTGAAATACTAAATAAAATTGTTCGTGATTTGCGAGAGAAAAAATTTCTGACTCCGACAAAAAACCATACCCCCCCCCCCCCCCCCCCCCCCTCAAACCCCTTTGAAGTTAAAATGGTTGCTCCCTGAATACTCCTTTGCTTGAATGTAAAATTTTTGATCCCAGTCATATGTCTTTATCCTTAAGCATTGATCTTAAAAAAACAGGGATTCTAACTCCCGGACACCCGTGTATGATTGACAAATCTTCCCTTCTTTATATGCTTATAAAGGTACAAATAACACGTACATGCACCAGTACAAAATTCTACATTGATCTGTTTTGAGTAATAAAATACTGATGATAGATCTCTTGGAATCCACAAGTATATCATGTATATTAGATGTAGAATCTGTATACAGTAATCACCTGTAATGATATGTTTATTAAGTCAAATTCTCTTTGATTTTTCAGCCTCACCAGTTTGACGAGTGTAGATTCGATGTTAGTGTAAATGATTGTATGTGGTACCTGAGAGCTGCCAGCGAAGATGACCGCAATCGATGGATCAGCGCTATTGAATTACATAGGGTATTTTGTAGTACTGAGGTATTATAATGGGGACTCCACTGTAAAAAGAAAACTTTACATAGATATGCAACTAATGTGCTTTATTTTGAATAAAATATCACTTGTTTGTTTCCTGCTAGCAATCTTTTAAAAAAGAAGTAAACGATTCCAATTTTTCACATTCATTCCTATGTTCACAGGATAATTAATGTTTAACATTTTTACACAGATAACAAAAGTATATTAAGGAAAATAAGATCCCATAAGAAAGTTTTGTAGATATTTTTATATTTTATCAAATTATGTTAAGTTATAAGTTTGCATTTACTAGAATGACACACATCCCTTTTTATTGGAGGGGAGAATTTTGTTCATCAGTCTTATTGTATCTCTTCTCTTGAAATTGTTGGCCAACCATTATTACTGTAATAATGTTGCTGCATAGTATGAGTAGAGTCTTTATGTTGAAGAGAGGTATACTCTTCATTATAGTTATGAGTTAATGAAAATGTGATATTTAATAAATTAATGGTACATATAATGATAAACTAAAAATTATTTAATAGTGCCATTTTCATACAAATATATGAATTCCAATAAATCAACTTTAGTGACAAAACCACTAAATTTTAACTCCATGAAAATAAGTTCTTCTAACATATCTAAGTATACTACAATATTTTTAAAGAATAAAATAATTGTTTAAGAAACAAGGCTTACAAAAGAATTATTAAATCTGATTCTGAAAAAAGAAAGAAAAATTTAGTAATTGATATTTGATAATCTGTTAGATACTTGGATATTTTAAACTATTGAAGGTAGAAATGGAAATTTAATGTGATAAAGGGATAATAGACAATTTATTATTTATAAAATTCTTCCCTGAGGACAATACATTATTCAAATCTCAAATGAAAACTCTTAAATTTTATGCTTGTTGTATGTTTCAAATCAATTTTCTTTTAAGTATTTTAGTAAATTGTTCTTTTAATTTGATGAAACAGTGAAATTGATTCTTTGTTTACTAAATTTTTAAATGTTTGTTAAAAAGAGTTTAATTGGACACATTCCAAAAAATACACACATATTGATTATTAAAATCTTGTTTAAGATTTTTCAAAACATAAGCAGATAAGGAAGTACAAACTAAACATTATTTTCACTCTGGAACAAGTTTCAATTTTGATATGGACTAAAAGATATTTAAAATATGAGGCATCCAGTACTGTACATGTGTTGAATTTCATTAAAATGCGGAATCTGTTAATTAACAGACAAAACCATAGTGTTGATCTTAATTCTAAAGATTTTTGCCTGTTGATGATATTTGTGTTTATTTTGCTTGATATGTTCCTTGAATTTTTAACTTATCTAAAAAATAGATGACTAGGACATTTGGACAGTAAACTTGTATGTTAGTTATAAGTTTGAACTTAACTGGCTAAATTCTGTAGTAAAAACATGTCAATAAAAGCAAGATCGTAAGAGGCTTTAATTTCAGGGTCAAACACTATTCAAAATTGAAGACCATTTCCTTACTGTGTTTGTTCCTAATACACCAGTATTTCTTTGTATTCACATTTGTTTTGTTTTGTTTTGTACAGATTAGTTAATTTAAAATTAATGAATAAAGGATAACAGGAATCACCAACAAATACCAGACATAATGTTTACAGGACTGTGCATCAATCCGTCCTGTCTTAGCTTATACTTTTGGTTTAATGTTGCTTACCATGAAGTTGTGTTCACATCAACTCGAAACTTAGTTTACATATATGAATAAGAGACGTGTTATGATTGTTGATGAGACAAACTTTCCACCAGAGGATGAGGATGTAAATGACTCTGGGTTACTGAACAACATAACACAACTGTGTAACAGCACAACATTAAGCACCAAAAAAAAACCCTAACTAAAAGATGAGAAATACACAAAGTATCAATTTAAGAGTACTTGCAGTAACTGAAACCTAGTCCAAAGCTGATTTCAACTGATAAATAATTCATGTTTTCCCAGCTATTAAAATATCAATACTAATTTACCAGTTATACATAGATGACATTTATTAAAACAGAAAACAACCCTAGTCAGGGCATAGCAAATGAGTTACAGGAATAATACTCGGGGAACGATGTCCTATGAACACATATTCTTGTTAGGATTTTTAATGAAGAAGAAACATTTTTTTTTATTGCTTAAACATTTTAATGAACCTTCAAGTTCTGGTGACCTCCCTTGTCAGAATTCACTTTAGAATTCACTCAACTCATCTGTGCTCGTATGTGTCTTTCAGTAACAAACTATGTAAACCAGAATGGGGAACAGGACTGCATGAAACCCTTAAAAAACAATCATACAATAATATGTTTCTCATCACCTGTCATTTCAATGGAATTTCTTGAGATGTTTTTATGTGAGATCATTCAAAATAAGTTATGTCTATATTTGTTTTTCAGCAAGCTGAATCTGGTTATGGCAGTGAAAACAATCTACGAAGACATGGTTCCCTGCTGTCATTACAATCTGGTACCAGTTTATCTACTTTATCAGCATCATCTTTTAAGGTATTATTTTCAAAATTGAATCATTCTTGATGTGAATGAAAGGAAAATTGGTTTAAACATTAATGAGAAAGCAACACAACAACCCAAAAAAGCCAAAAGACATCTTCACAATCATAAGTATAATCATGGATCAAAATAAAGACACAAAAAACTGGTATTTGCTGGTATTAGCATACAACACTTATTAGGAAAAGAAAACAAGATCATCTGTAAAACATAAAAATGTGTCCTGAAAGAAACACAAGTATTTTGATAATTTCTTGTCAGCTAACATGTAAATAAAGGAGATATGGGGCCATTTACGGAACCTCACAAAAATAGACAGCTAGATGTCAACATGCATGCTTCAATAGCAGACAAGTTTCCATACAATATATTGAGCTCTACATACATGTAGCCTTGAGACCAGAAAAAAACTTTAAATTTTACACAGAGAATGTTCCCATCATTAATTTTGTTTTAAAAAAAATCCATTAGATGTGAAACCAAGTTGTTAATACAGTTTATCATGGTTTATCTCTGACAAATAAACTTGCATTAAATCAGATTTGATAAGGAAACAGTCAACGGTCATGAAAAGGAAACCTTTTCAAAAGAGAACAGGAAAAAAGGCAAAGCAATTTAAGGGAAAACAAAAAAGGAAAAAATTCAGCATAAAAAACCAATTTATATCTTCTGTATGAAAAAATGCAAATTCATTGTAAATTCTATATTTCTTTGAGGGTGTTATTTTCACTTATTCCACAATCACATGAAATGCATGAAATATCACCAGCGTGAATAGTTTGTTCAAGACATCAACAATAATGTTGTGAAGGATGAATTTAGATGACTTATCATTTGATATTAATCTAATTGAACCTAAAACAAATAGATTATGCATAGAAATCTCGAAAATAACAGCCTGCAAAAATATCAACTTTTACATCACATAAGTTGTCAATAGTTTATATCAGACTTTTTTAATTTTGTTTTGCAGCGTGGAAGAGGATTAAAAGAAAAATTGGCTGAAATGGAAACGTTCCGTGATATACTTTGTCGACAGATAGACACATTACAAAGTTACTTTGACACTTGTGCATCTGCAGTGACACATGGTGTTGTACATGACTGTAAATATCTTTGGAATTACATGTGTAAAAAATGGAAATGTTCCATATGTGTTTTTAATCCATGCTTAAGAGTTCAAACTGTTATATATGATTCCAGGCATTAAGATGTGATTTATAAATGTGGAGAGGATGTAGGAAATGTGTATTATTAATTTTACACATGAATAAGAAAGTTCTTTTTAGAACAAATGAGTTAAAGTTCATGCTGAGATTGATATATATTAATTATCATGAATAGATAAACAGAAAATCTATATATGTAGAGTATTAGCCAATTTTAAGTAAGGGCCATTATAGTAAAAAAAAAGGTGTGTGTGAAAGTTATCAGAAATAAATCATGTGTAAGATTTCCATTTGAAATAGCATATGAATTATATGGGGAAGAAAAGTGCCTGTCAATTCTTTCCCAGAATTTTGTTTACCTAATAGTGATGACATTTAAAATGATTGTTACTTGTCACTGTAGTTCGACAAAAGTTTTTGATGTGTAATAGTGATATTAAATAAAGGAACTTAGTTTTAAACCAAAAAACATTCTTCCTGTTTGTTGATACATGTACTTTGAATTTTTCAATATGATGGATGAACTTACAAATTTTCTTCACACATTTCTTCAATACTTATGAACAGAAAGACTTTGTATTTGGTCAGTAGCTCTACAATGATGAGTTGTTATATGTGTGTGCTTTTTTTATCTGTCAGACACCTTCATCCTATTGTCCTTTACTTTGAATTGTGATTCGGGGTCTGCTGTGCACGTCAACACATGCATTCTTGTTTTACTTAAAAGAAAATACATCGGTACTTGTAAATGATAAAAAAAGTCATTGTTTGATGTTTTTTAATTCGAAAGAAAAACAAACACTATATGATTTAATACTGTAAGATTGTATATTAAATTTTTTCAATTCATTAATAGTAGCAGAAGAAGACATTGGTGACCCAGATGACATTAGTGACACTTCTTCTGAACATCCACCTAGTCATCATCATCCACATCATTTTAACGGACCAACAGGCACAGATTTAGGTAAGATAACCTTCAACCAAGTAGGCATTAATGTTATCTTAACAGACCAATGGAAAGGTTAGGTAAAGTTAAGATCCACTTAGTTATTATCATCAGTTATAATGGACCAACAATTTTATGCTAGATTATGGTCAACCTAGCTATCTACCACAACATGAAGAAGTACCAGTTATATGTCAGTAAGATACGTCAGAAAACTTGAACCATCAACAAATAATTAAATTTATTTCATTTAAAAAAAATAGCACTTTTCTTTTAATAAATTTCAGACTGAGTATTGAAATCAGTGGTTTTAGTCAGCTGGAAAATTAATGATAATCAATATCTCTACAAATCATATTTTTATACGACCGCAAAAAAAATTTTGTGGTCGTATATTGGTATGACGTTGGCGTCGTCGTCGTCGCCGTCGTCGTTGTCGTCTGGCGTCGTCCGAAGACACATTGGTTTTCGCACTCTAACTTTAGTTTAAGTGAATGGATCTCTATGAAATTTTACCACAAGGTTCAATACCACAAAAGGAAAGTTGGGATTGATTTTGGGGGTTATGGTACCAACAGTAAAGGAATTAGGGGCCAAAAAGGGGCCAAAAATAAGCATTTTTGTAACTTCCAGACATAACTTGTGTGTTAGTGTATGGATCTCTCTGACATTGTACCACAAGGTTCCATATCACAAAAGGAATGCTGGGATTGATTTTGGGGGTAATTGCCTCAAAGTTTTAGGAATTAGGGGCCAAAAAAGGGGCAAAAAACAAGCATTTTTCTAGTTTCATGACAATAACTTGTGTGTAAGTGTATGGATCTTTCTGAAATTGTACTACAAGGTTCCATATCACAAAGGGAAAGCTGGAATTGAGTTTGGGGGTAATTGCCGAAACGTTTAGGAATTGGGGGCCAAAAAGGGGCCAAAAATAAGCATTTTTCTAGTTTCCAGACAATAACTTGTGTTCAAGTGTATGGATCTCTCTGAAATTGTACTGCAAGGTACCATACCACAAAGGGAAGGCTGGGATTGATGATGGGGGTAATTGCCTCAATATTTAAGGAATTAGGGGCCAAAAAGGGGCAAAAAACAAGCATTTTTATACGACCGCAAAAAAATTTTTGTGGTCGTATATTGGTATGACGTTGGCGTCGTCGTCGTCGTCGTTGTCGTCGTCCGGCGTCGTCCGAAGACACATTGGTTTTCGCACTCTAACTTTAGTTTAAGTGAATGGATCTTTATGAAATTTTACCACAAGGTTCAATACCACAAAAGGAAGGTTGGGATTGATTTTGGGGGTTATGGTAATAACAGTAAAGGAATTAGGGGCCAAAAAGGGGCCAAAAATAAGCATTTTTGTAACTTCCAGACATAACTTGTGTGTTAGTGTATGGATCTCTCTGACATTGTACCACAAGGTTCCATATCACTAAAGGAATGCTGGGATTGATTTTGGGGGTAATTGCCTCCAAATTTTAGGAATTAGGGGCCAAAAAAGGGGCAAAAAACAAGCATTTTTCTAGTTTCATGACAATAACTTGTGTGTAAGTGTATGGATCTTTCTGAAATTGTACTACAAGGTTCCATATCACAAAGGGAAAGCTGGGTTTGAGTTTGGGGGTAATTGCCCTAAACGTTTAGGAATTTGGGGCCAAAAAGGGGCCAAAAAACACATTTTTTTCTAGTTTCCAGACAATAACTTGTGTTCAAGTGTATGGATCTCTCTGAAATTGTACTGCAAGGTACCATACCACAAAGGGAAGGCTGGGATTGAGTTTGGGGGTGATGAATCATAATGGGGGTTCAAAAAATTTTGGGGGGGGATTTATTTTTTTTTCATTTTTTTTCTTTTTTTCCTTTTTTGTTTCTTTTAAAATTTTCCATTTTAAGTTGGTTATTTCTGATTTATATTTAAAATCAAATAATAATGATATGGTAGGAGATACACACCAAACAGGATGTGTAAATTATTATATAATAAGTATTGTGCAATAGCAAGAAATTTTCAATTGCACAGTATTGCACAATAGCAAGAAATCTTCAATTGCACAGTATTGCGCAATAGCAAGAAATCTTCAATTGCACAGTATTGCGCAATAGCAAGAAATATCCAATAGCACAATATTGCGCAATAGCAAGAAATTGTCAATTGTACAGTATTGCGCAATAGCAAGAAATATTTAATAGCACAGGATTGTGCAAAAGAAGATACTTCCTATAAATTGCTTATTTCTTGACAAATTTCAATGGGGTTTTATTCTTGATTTCATGGGGTTCTTTAATATGCTGAATCTAACCGTGTATTTAGTTTTTGGATTTTGGGCCCCGTTTTTAAATTGGTCCACATTGAGGTCCAAACTGTCCAAAATTAAACTTTGTTTGATTTCATCAAAAATTGAATTATTGGGGTTCTTTGATATGCCGAATCTAACTGTGTATTTAGATTCTTAAATTTTGGTTCCGTTTTCAAATTGGTCTACATTAAGGTCCAAAGGGTCCAAAATTAAACTTAGTTTGATTTTAACAAAAATTGAATTCTTAGGGTTCTTTGATATGCTGAATCTAAACATGTATTTAGATTTTTGATTATGGGCCCAGTTTTCAAGTTGGTCCAAATCGGGGTCCAAAATTAAACTTTGTTTGATTTCAACAAAAATTGAATATATGGGGTTCTTTGATATGCTGAATCTAACCATGTATTTAGATTTTTGATTTTTGGGCCCCGTTATCAACTTTGTCCACATTGAGGTCAAAAGGGTCCAAAATTAAACTTTGTTTGATTTCATCAAAAATTGAATTCTTGGGGTTCTTTGATATGCTGAATCTAACCGTGTATTTAGATTCTTAATTTTTGGTTCCGTTTTCAAATTGGTCTACATTAAGGTCCAAAGGGTCCAAAATTAAACTTAGTTTGATTTTAACAAAAATTGAATTCTTAGGGTTCTTTGATATGCTGAATCTAAATATGTATTTAGATTTTTGATTATGGGCCCAGTTTTCAAGTTGGTCCAAATCGGGGTCCAAAATTAAACTTTGTTTGATTTCAACAAAAATTGAATATATGGGGTTCTTTGATATGCTGAATCTAACCATGTATTTAGATTTTTGATTTTTGGGCCCCGTTATTAACTTTGTCCACATTGAGGTCAAAAGGGTCCAAAATTAAACTTTGTTTGATTTCATCAAAAATTGAATTCTTGGGGTTCTTTGATATGCTGAATCTAACCATGTATTTAGATTTTGGATATTGGACCATAATAGGTGAATGTCCAATTTAAAATTTTTAAGTTCTTAGACCACATTCAATCTGTGTTAGAAACCTATGCTGTGTCAAATATTTAATCACAATCCAAATCCAAAGCTGTATCAAGCTTGAATGTTGTGTCCATACTTCCCCCAACTGTTCAGGGTTCGACCTCTGCGGTCGTATCAAGCTGCGCCCTGCGGAGCATTTTATTCTAGTTTCAGGACAATAACTTGTGTGTAAGTGTATGGATCTTTCTGAAATTGTACTACAAGGTTCCATATCTCAAAGGGAAAGCTGGGTTTGAGTTTGGGGGTAATTGCCCTTAACGTTTAGGAATTTGGGGCCAAAAAGGGGCCAAAAAACACATTTTTCTAGTTTCCAGACAATAACTTGTGTTCAAGTGTATGGATCTCTCTGAAATTGTACTGCAAGGTACCATACCACAAAGGGAAGGCTGGGATTGAGTTTGGGGGTGATGAATCATAATGGGGGTTCAAAAAATTTTGGGGGGGGATTTATTTTTTTTTCATTTTTTTTTTTTTTTTTTCCTTTTTTTTTTCTTTTAAAATTTTCCATTTTAAGTTGGTTATTTCTGATTTATATTTAAAAGCAAATAATAATGATATGGTAGGAGATACACACCAAACAGGAAGTGTAAATTATTATATAATAAGTATTGTGCAATAGCAAGAAATTTTCAATTGCACAGTATTGCACAATAGCAAGAAATCTTCAATTGCACAGTATTGCACAATAGCAAGAAATCTTCAATTGCACAGTATTGCGCAATAGCAAGAAATATCCAATAGCACAATATTGCGCAATAGCAAGAAATTGTCAATTGTACAGTATTGCCCAATAGCAAGAAATATTTAATTGCACAGTATTGTGCAAAAGAAGATACTTCGTATAAATTGCTTATTTCTTGACCAATTTCAATGGGGTTTTATTCTTGAATTCTTGGGGTTCTTTAATATGCTAAATCTAACCGTGTATTTAGTTTTTGGATTTTGGGCCCCGTTTTTAAATTGGTCCACATTGAGGTCCAAAGGGTCCAAAATTAAACTTTGTTTGATTTCATCAAAAATTGAATTATTGGGGTTCTTTGATATGCCGAATCTAACCGTGTATTTAGATTCTTAATTTTTGGTTCCGTTTTCAAATTGGTCTACATTAAGGTCCAGTGGGTCCAAAATTAAACTTAGTTTGATTTTAACAAAAATTGAATTCTTAGGGTTCTTTGATATGCTGAATCTAAACATGTATTTAGATTTTTGATTATGGGCCCATTTTTCAAGTTGGTCCAAATCGGGGTCCAAAATTAAACTTTGTTTGATTTCAACAAAAATTGAATATATGGGGATCTTTGATATGCTGAATCTAACCATGTATTTAGATTTTTGATTTTTGGGCCCCGTTATCAACTTTGTCCATATTGAGGTCAAAAGGGTCCAAAATTAAACTTTGTTTGATTTCATCAAAAATTGAATTCTTGGGGTTCTTTGATATGCTGAATCTAACCATGTATTTAGATTTTGGATATTGGACCATAATAGGTGAATGTCCAATTTAAAATTTTTAAGTTCTTAGACCACATTCATTCTGTGTTAGAAACCTATGCTGTGTCAAATATTTAATCACAATCCAAATGCAAAGCTGTATCAAGCTTGAATGTTGTGTCCATACTTGCCCCAACTGTTCAGGGTTCGACCTCTGCGATCGTATCAAGCTGCGCCCTGCGGAGCATTTTATTGAATTATATTATTCTTATTAAGGGGAGACAACAATTTTTGAATATCTTATAAAGGAGATGTTTAGGTGTACAGAAATGAGAAGGCAACCTACAACACACAAAAAAACTGAATTAAAGACACTTGAAGGTCAACATATGGTCTGTAATAAATAGGCAAGACACGTTTTGAAGAGAAAGAATATTATTATTTGAATGACCACTGCTGGAATTGTAGCTAAATTAATTCTTTGTATTGATTTCATTTCAGCTTCCATATTACAACAGCATGGAGGACATTCTGTAGATTTTAAAGGAGAAGCCTTCACATTTAAAGCCACCACAGCTGGAATCATTGCTACTTTATCTCACTGTATTGATCTCATGGGACAGAGAGAGGAGGCATGGAAGAAAAAGCTTGACAAGGCAAGTAAAGAGCATAAACGTTATATCCTCAATCTTAAAAATAAGTATGTGGCCTGGAGTGATAAAGTGGTCCCTGTAGCTTGTCAACTTTTACTTCTACAGGTCAGCTTATCACAACAATGGAACTATATTGAGTCTTGCCTCAGTCATCAGAAGAAACTGCAAATTGACTAGATCTATTGTTATGTAATAAGAATGTGTTTATCAGCCAAAGTTTGGTGGATTACCCTGGTCATTATGTTGTCCTCCACATCTAACCCTGGTGGTTATTGAGAGATATATAGAAGTACACCAAACAAACTTAATGAAGTATTTTTGGAGAGTTTAAATTTCTGGTAAATGTCTCTCACCTTAAAAGATTATGAGAATGTTTTTAAATGAAATCATTATTTTAAAAGATATAATAGATATTTCCAGTGCATTTTAAAATGTAACCTATCATACATAAATTACAAACCTGACTTGTACTTGTCCATAAAATATTGTAAACTGTGAAGTAATTGGTTCTTGTTTAATATTACAGGAAAATGAACGTCGGAAGAAAACCGAAGAAAAATTTAAAGAACTCTCAGCAGAACAAATGAAACAGCCACCAAGACTTGTAATAGGAGGACCAGATTTTGAAGTAAGCATTGTTTTTACTTAACAAAGAGAGATAATCCATGATGTTTCATTTGACAAAAAAAAGTCTGAAAAAACTCTTCAATGATGCTATTACATCTTGTATAAACAATGATTGGGCAATATATACAAATCAGATGTCTATCTGGACCATCTTCTTAGGTGTTATGTCCAATATCCCTAAACCTTTGTAGGAAAATAGATCAAGATATAAAAACATTACCACATGGAAGTTTTAATTGGTCTATAAGATTCATGAGACTTATGCCCCTTTGAACTTAAAATTTTTACTTTTTATGAACCAACCTTGTCATTGCAAGTCCTTGCATATGGTTTAATTTCATCTGCCAAATATGCACTAAAAATTTTCATTGCATATCTTGTTACATGGCTTTATATGTCAACTAATTTTACTTACTGTTTTTGAATGTCCTCTTCTCATCGTATTTTAGACCATATTAAATAATATTCTAATGCAATAAGGCATTTTGGATTTGACAGTGGCTACTCTTCAAATAAAGTACTGTTATTCTTTAAATATACATATATGCATGTGGATAAGATATTTTATGCCCCCGCCGTAGCGGAGGGGGCATTAAGTTTTACCCTTGTACGTCCGTAAGTACGTATGTACGTCCCAAAGTTGGTTTCTGTTCTCTAACTTTTGTTTGCCTTAACCAAATGTTATGAAACTTATACACAATACTTATTACCACAAAACTCAGATCAAGTACAAATTTGGGTAGCGTCACTTTTACCGTTCTTCAGTTATGTCTCTTTATAACTTCATATGATATGCAAGCGGGGGCATCATCTGTGTCCCATGGACACATTCCTCATTTATTGTTACATTGATTTTATTTATATCCAGAATTGTGGATACTAGTCCAGCATATTGGACAGTTTTATATATGTGATAAGAATATTGTCATTAATTTCAGGAAGGACCACACTGTCAGATAAAAGAAGATGAATTTTATGATGCAGTTGATGCTAGTCTTGATAAACTAGAACAGAAAGATGATGAGAAGGTACACTAATTATTCTGTCTATAAATTACAAACTTTTAGTATATGTTGATATCAACAGTTTTTAGTGGCTTTTTTGGCAAATATAATTAGAGTTTTAAGAAATAAATCTGTATATTTAAGTGGCAGACAGAAAAAAGAACATGTCAGAATAGAATAGATATTTGGAAAACAATTTATTTAAATTTTCATTCTTGATTCTGTAATTTCAATTTATTCAAAGGCTGTTCTGTCCATCTACAGTTCAGTGAGTAATTGTCCTATGTTAGATAAACTATAAAAAAATTCTTCTTTGGAAGGGCAATCTTTGATATTGATGATATAATTAGGAGTTATAGCTGAATATGGTTAATAAACTATTACATTGAAAAATATTTGCCTAAAAAATCATGATGAAATTTGAATTTATAATAAAAACATTCCTTTCACTAAGTTTGCACTTAGCTAAAAAAAAAATGATATTCCGCCTGTTTTAGTCCTGTCTGTTTTAGTACTGTTTTTAAGTTCTCCTGTTTTAGTCATTGTTGATATTTTGAAGGTACAGATAGGACTGTTGAGTCAACCAAAGATATCTTTAGCTCCAAGTCACAGATTGTATGATGAGGTATGTAATAATATTAAAAAAGGAAATGAAAGACAAATTTTTCAAGATTTCTTTTTCTCAAATTCAAGTTTAATGGTTATAAAAGTTTAATTTAAACTTTTTCATTTATTAATGCATTTTATTAAAAAAAATACTTTACATATGTCCAAAGTGTGGCATGACCTGGATATAATTTTTTCAAGTTCAATGATTTACTTTTTAAAATCCAGTGGCAAATATAACAGACATATCAGAGCGAGAACATGCTAATGTGATATGAATATGATCCGTACTTTGTAATAGATGGACATGAGTTGATTTTTTACCTGCAAGTTCACAAGGTAACAGTCTGCAAAATGAAATGTCACCCTACTGGGACTCCTATTCCTAATTGTTGCATTTTCATTAAATACAACTGCAAAAACTAATTTTCAAGTCTTTGGTTTGACCGACAGGGTATCAAACCCTAGACATCCCATGCTCAAGGCAAGCACCAGACCACCAAGGCAATATAATTTTAAAGATAAAGACAAAATAAGATATATTTATTTCACATAAAACTGAAATTTAATGTATTTGATTGCTATTTGTACTATCACCAAAACCTATGATTTAGGGATGATGTGCAGATGTAAGTTGTGAGCTGTTAACCTTGGTAATCCAGTTTAAAAAAAATAGTAAGTTTAATCATTCAATTCGAAGAAGTTCATAGAAGGCATAGGCCAGAGTTTTTTGAGTAATGTACTGTAGACTCATCAGAATTAGCTGAGACTCACCACTTAAGAAAGTGACGAGAACCATGACTTGTCCCAAAGAATAACCTATTAAGAACCCTGAATATATCATTTGACCTTGATGTTAGAAACTGTGAGTGTATTATTATAATACATTATTTATTCAGCTGACTCAGTAAATTATAGAAGAAATTTCAGCGAGTCCAGACTTGTGTATACATATATTTCATGTGTATGCTATCTTTCAGATTAATAAGATAACAAATGAGCATATAGCTAGAATGTCTGACCAATCATCAGATGGAGACAGTCAATGGAGATGTATAGCTGAGGATGGAGAACTCAAAGTATATACTAGAGAAATAGAAATAGATGGTGTAGTGGTAGATCCACTGAAGGCTTGTCATACTGTTAAGGTATGTTATCTGAGGACTGATAGTATATATATTGGTATTAAAAGAAAGGGGGTGCACTCATTAATTTTAGTTGTAAATAAATTCAACAGAAAAGTGGAATTTTTCTTAAGAATTCTTCAAATTTTTTAAACATACCATTAGATAAAACTTGTTGAAGATTGGACACAACCTTAATACTAAATACCTCTTCAAGAAAATCCTTAAATTTTGTCAAAAATAAACAATGGACAGTTTCTACCAGTCTCAATTGTCAAAGATATTTGTTGAACACAAAGTATCCTCTCTATTTTGTCAAAGTCACAATATAAACCTCTGGTTCCTGGAAGTCATGTGAGATGTATGAACCAGAAACCAGACATGTTATATGTAATAATATTTAAGTATACAGTCAATGTTTTAACCTCTGTAAACACAAGTTGTTGTATTTTTAGGTTACTCAGTTGAAAAGAAAATGTGAACTCCCCTTTGAACTAGTCCTGTTCATTGTACCTTTATATACACCCATCAATGTTAACAATGACTGTTTATTTCAGGGATTTACTGGTCATGAAGTATGTCATCATTTCTGGGATATTGATGTCAAGATGCACTGGGATTGTAAGTTAACATTACAAGGAACTAGTTATAAGAAAGAAAACAAAATATTTTATTTCAAGATTAATTTTTTTATCAGTGGTCTACATACTTAATATATATTTATATATATATGAATATTTCTTGCCATGCAAACTTTTTGTCTATAGCATAACTGATGAAGGTTATTCTGGAAACATGTCATACACACAGAAATTGTATCATCTATTTTTGACATAATGTTTTTAGACAGGTATAGACAGTATTGGATTAGATTACTTACTGGGGAAATGAAAGCTAAATACTAATAAATTTTTTGAATTATATTGTCCAATACATTAAATTGAATAAATCTCAATTTGAAAGACTAAATCATTAATCAAGAGAAAGAAATGACAAACGATATGAATTTAAGGAGATATTTAGTACAATTATTGAACATTTGAACTTTACAGTAACCTTAGACTCAACAGTAGCAGTAGAATGGCCCTCAGAAGATACAGTTATTTTACACAATGTCATTAAAAGGGTTTGGCCAGCATCACAAAGAGATGCATTATTCTGGTCTCATAAACGACATTTACCTGGACAAACAGATGAAACACCAGATCGATGGATAGTTGTTAATTACAGTACGAAACATCCAAAAATATCTGTAAGTACAAAATACAGTACAAAACATTTTAAAATATCTAAGTACAAAATACAGTACAAAACATCCAAAAATATCTGTAAGTACAAATTACAGTACAAAACATCCTAAAATATCTGTAAGTACAAAATACAGTACAAAACATCCTAAAATATCTAAGTACAAAATACAGTACAAAACATCCTAAAATATCTGTAAGTACAAAATACAGTACAAAACATTCTAAAATATATAAGTACAAAATACAGTACAAAACATCCTAAAATATCTAAGTACAAAATACAGTACAAAACATCCTAAAATATCTAAGTACAAAATACAGTACAAAACATTCTAAAATATCTAAGTACAAAATACAGTACAAAACATCCTAAAATATCTAAGTACAAAATACAGTACAAAACATCCTAAAATATCTAAGTACAAAATACAGTACAAAACATCCTAAAATATCTGTAAGTACAAAATACAGTATAAAACATCCTAAAATATCTGTAAGTACAAAATACAGTACAAAACATCCTAAATTATCTGTAAGTACTAAATACAGTACAAAACATCCTAAATATCTAAGTACAAAATACAGTACAAAACATCCTAAAATATCTGTAAGTACAAAATACAGTACAAAACATCCTAAAATATCTAAGTACAAAATACAGTACAAAACATCCTAAAATATCTGTAAGTACAAAATACAGTACAAAACCTCCTAAATTATCTAAGTACAAAATACAGTACAAAACATCCTAAAATATCTGTAAGTACAAAATACAGTATAAAACATCCTAAAATATCTAAGTACAAAATACAGTACAAAACATCCTAAAATATCTGTAAGTAAAAAATACAGTACAAAACATCCTAAAATATCTAAGTACAAAATACAGTACAAAACATCCTAAAATATCTGGAAGTACAAAATACAGTACAAAACATCCTAAAATATCTGTAAGTACAAAATACAGTACAAAACATCCTAAAATATCTAAGTACAAAATACAGTACAAAACATCCTAAAATATCTGTAAGTACAAAATACAGTACAAAACATCCAATAATACCTGTAAGTACAAAATACAGTACAAAACCTTCTAAAATATCTGTAAGTACAAAATACAGTACAAAACATCCTAAAATATCTAAGTACAAAATACAGTACAAAACATCCTAAAATATCTGTAAGTACAAAATACAGTACAAAACATCCTAAAATATCTAAGTACAAAATACAGTACAAAACATCCTAAAATATCTGTAAGTACAAAATACAGTACAAAACATCCTAAAATATCTAAGTACAAAATACAGTACAAAACATCCTAAAATATCTGTAAGTACAAAATACAGTACAAAACATCCAATAATACCTGTAAGTACAAAATACAGTACAAAACCTTCTAAAATATCTGTAAGTACAAAATACAGTACAAAACATCCTAAAATATCTAAGTACAAAATACAGTACAAAACATCCTAAAATATCTGTAAGTACAAAATACAGTACAAAACATCCTAAAATATCTGTAAGTACAAAATACAGTACAAAACATCCTAAAATATCTAAGTACAAAATACAGTACAAAACATCCTAAAATATCTGTAAGTACAAAATACAGTACAAAACATCCTAAAATATCTGTAAGTACAAAATACAGTACAAAACATCCAATAATACCTGTAATACAAAATACAGTACAAAACATTCTAAAATATCTAAGTACAAAATACAGTACAAAACATCCTAAAATATCTAAGTACAAAATACAGTACAAAACATCCTAAAATATCTGTAAGTACAAAATACAGTAGAAAACATCCTAAAATATCTGTAAGTACAAAATACAGTACAAAACATCCTAAATATCTAAGTACAAAATACAGTACAAAACATCCTAAAATATCTGTAAGTACAAAATACTAAAATATCTGTAAGTACAAAATACAGTACAAAACATCCAATAATACCTGTAAGTACAAAATACAGTACAAAACATCCTAAAATATCTGTAAGTACAAAATACAGTACAAAACATCCTAAAATATCTGTAAGTACAAAATACTAAAATATCTGTAAGTACAAAATACAGTACAAAACATCCAATAATACCTGTAAGTACAAAATACAGTACAAAACATCCTAAAATATCTGTAAGTACAAAATACAGTACAAAACATCCTAAGATATCTGTAAGTACAAAATACAGTACAAAACATCCAATAATACCTGTAAGTACAAAATACAGTACAAAACATCCTAAAATATCTGTAAGTACAAAATACAGTACAAAACATCCTAAAATATCTAAGTACAAAATACAGTACAAAACATCCTAAAATATCTGTAAGTACAAAATACAGTACAAAACATCCTAAATATCTAAGTACAAAATACAGTACAAAACATCCTAAAATACCTGTAAGTACAAAATACAGTACAAAACATCCTAAATATCTAAGTACAAAATACAGTACAAAACATCCTAAAATATCTTGTATGTACAAAATACAGTACAAAACATCCTAAAATATCTAAGTACAAAATACAGTACAAAACATCCTAAATATCTAAGTACAAAATACAGTACAAAACATCCTAAAATATCTGTAAGTACAAAATACAGTACAAAACATCCTAAAATATCTAAGTACAAAATACAGTACAAAACATCCTAAAATATCTGTAAGTACAAAATACAGTACAAAACATCCTAAAATATCTAAGTACAAAATACAGTACAAAACATCCTAAAATATCTGTAAGTACAAAATACTAAAATATCTGTAAGTACAAAATACAGTACAAAACATCCAATAATACCTGTAAGTACAAAATACAGTACAAAACATCCTAAAATATCTAAGTACAAAATACAGTACAAAACATCCTAAAATATCTAAGTACAAAATACAGTACAAAACATCCTAAAATATCTGTAAGTACAAAATACAGTACAAAACATCCTAAATACCTGTAAGTACAAAATACAGTACAAAACATCCTAAATATCTAAGTACAAAATACAGTACAAAACATCCTAAATATCTAAGTACAAAATACAGTACAAAACATCCTAAAATATCTGTAAGTACAAAATACAGTACAAAACATCCTAAAATATCTAAGTACAAAATACAGTACAAAACATCCTAAATATCTAAGTACAAAATACAGTACAAAACATCCTAAAATATCTGTAAGTACAAAATACAGTACAAAACATCCTAAAATATCTAAGTACAAAATACAGTACAAAACATCCTAAAATATCTGTAAGTACAAAATACAGTACAAAACATCCTAAAATATCTAAGTACAAAATACAGTACAAAACATCCTAAAATATCTGTAAGTACAAAATACTAAAATATCTGTAAGTACAAAATACAGTACAAAACATCCTAAAATATCTAAGTACAAAATACAGTACAAAACATCCTAAAATATCTAAGTACAAAATACAGTACAAAACATCCTAAAATATCTGTAAGTACAAAATACAGTACAAAACATCCTAAATACCTGTAAGTACAAAATACAGTACAAAACATCCTAAATATCTAAGTACAAAATACAGTACAAAACATCCTAAATATCTAAGTACAAAATACAGTACAAAACATCCTAAAATATCTAAGTACAAAATACAGTACAAAACATCCTAAAATATCTGTAAGTACAAAATACAGTACAAAACATCCTAAAATATCTAAGTACAAAATACAGTACAAAACATCCTAAAATATCTGTAAGTACAAAATACAGTACAAAACATCCTAAAATATCTAAGTACAAAATACAGTACAAAACATCCTAAAATATCTAAGTACAAAATACAGTACAAAACATCCTAAAATATCTAAGTACAAAATACAGTACAAAACATCCTAAAATATCTAAGTACAAAATACAGTACAAAACATCCTAAAATATCTATAAGTACAAAATACAGTGCAAAACATCCTAAAATATCTGTAAGTACAAAATACAGTACAAAACATCCTAAAATATCTGTAAGTACAACACATTCTAAAAAAGTTAAGGAAATGATAATTTGTAATCTTGATAAAACAGATTTTGAATTACATTTGATAATCCAAACTAATAAAAAATGCTTAGGTCTTTAATCTGCTTTACCTGTTTGAACCAAAAGGTGCAGAAATGATTCTGTTTGCTTTGAAGCATTTCATTGGTTCTTATTAAGGTAAAGCATTCATAGAAACTTTGTGAGCAGACCTGACACTTGAAGTCACTAGTTATATATATCAGTGAATGTATAAATCAAAGGCATCAGTTATAGTTGTTGCATTTGCATATTGTGGATGCATTTATATTCTTGGATACCAATTTTCTTAGATTGAGGAAAAATTGCATTTTCATGGATATTTTATTTCGATGTTTTGTCAAAGTCTCCATACCAGTCTATAGAAAATTTGCACCTCCTTGAACATTTAAATTCAGTATTAACCTTTATGCACTAAATCCACAAGAACTAGTATCCCACGAATAATAATGAATCTGCAGTACATGTAAATAGAAAAGGTCAAATCTTACAATTGTATGAAGTAAAAAAAAAATATAGATTTTTATGCCCCACCTAGGGGCATTATGTTTTTTGGTATGTGTGTCCATTCGTTCGTCCGTCCGTCCATCTGTCCCGCTTCAGGTTAAAGTTTTGGTCAAGGTAGTTTTTGATGAAGTTGAAGTCCAATCAACTTGAAACTTAGTACACATGTTCCCTATGATATGATCTTTCTAATTTTATGCCAAATTAGAGTTTTGACCCCAATTTCATGGTCCACTGAACATAGAAAATGATAGTGCTAGTGGGGCATCCGTGTACTATGGACACATTCTTGTTGTTTATAAATTATATTAAGAGTGTAAATTAATAAGGACCAAAAAATTTTTGAATAATGTTGAAAGTCATTTTAAAAGTTTAAAAAACAATATTTGATGTACAAGTGTACTCTCTGAATGTTATCATTTGCTACTTAAATATTTTAGTTCACTGTAGCCTTATGGTGCTGATGTGAACCTTAGAAGATATCATTTAACTGTTGTTCTGATGTTAGATTTCAGATATATGTAACTTCTTCATTTTCATTTGTTTTCTAGGATGGAAAATACACACGAGTAACAATGAATGTTGGAATGATTTGTCAAACCATTATAGAGCCACCCTCAGAAGGGGAAATAACCAGAGATAATATTACATGTAAAATAAGTTACACAGCTGATGGTTAGTATATTTTTTATGTTTATTGAGCAACATGCACATTATTATTTTTTTGCGTTTCATTCCTTTCTTTTCATTTTTGGGATGTATGTCCCATAGAAAAAAATGGTCTCTCAGATAGCACAAAGATGAATACATGTACCAGATCCCATATATAACATTCCTGTAGATTACTATAGGATCTAGCAAAGATAGAACAAAGATGAATACATGTACCAGATCCCATATATAACTTTCCTGTAGATTACTATAGGATCTAGCAAAGATAGAACAAAGATGAATACATGTACCAGATCCCATATATAACTTTCCTGTAGATTACTATAGGATCTAGCAAAGATAGAACAAAGATGAATACATGTACCAGATCCCATATATAACTTTCCTGTAGATTACTATAGGATCTAGCAAAGATAGAACAAAGATGAATACATGTACCAGATCCCATATATAACTTTCCTGTAGATTACTATAGGATCTAGCAAAGATAGAACAAAGATGAATACATGTACCAGATCCCATATATAACATTCCTGTAGATTACTATAGGATCTAGCAAAGATAGAACAAAGATGAATACATGTACCAGATCCCATATATAACTTTCCTGTAGATTACTATAGGATCTAGCAAAGATAGAACAAAGATGAATACATGTACCAGATCCCATATATAACATTCCTGTAGATTACTATAGGATCTAGCAAAGGTAGAACAAAGATGAATACATGTACCAGATCCCATATATAACATTCCTGTAGATTACTATAGGATCTAGCAAAGATAGAACAAAGATGAATACATGTACCAGATCCCATATATAACATTCCTGTAGATTACTATAGGATCTAGCAAAGATAGAACAAAGATGAATACATGTACCAGATCACATATATAACATTCCTGTAGATTACTATAGGATCTAGCAAAGATAGAACAAAGATGAATACATGTACCAGATCCCATATATAACATTCCTGTAGATTACTATAGGATCTAGCAAAGATAGAACAAAGTTGAATACATGTACCAGATCCCATATATAACATTCCTGTAGATTACTAGAGGATCTAGCAAAGATAGAACAAAGTTGAATACATGTACCAGATCCCATATATAACATTCCTGTAGATTACTATAGGATCTAGCAAAGATAGAACAAAGTTGAATACATGTACCAGATCCCATATATAACATTCCTGTAGATTACTAGAGGATCTAGCAAAGATAGAACAAAGTTGAATACATGTACCAGATCCCATATATAACATTCCTGTAGATTACTATTGGATCTAGCAAAGATAGAACAAAGTTGAATACATGTACCAGATCCCATATATAACATTCCTGTTCTAGCAAACATATTAGATTTCTTGGATTTATAATTGTATGTCAGATGGGCAAAAAATTTGAAAGTACCTTTTAAACAATAAAAGACATTTATTCATTTTGATATTGAAAAAAAATTATACTGTATGGATTATGATGTTATTTTGTTTTACAGTTAATCCAGGTGGCTGGGTACCATCTTCTGTATTGAGAGCAGTATACAAGAGAGAATATCCCAGATTTCTAAAGACATTCACAGAATATGTAAGAAAAGCAACAGCTAATAAGCCTATCATGTTCTAACTCCGCTACACCTTTATGTTTGGTGCCTTTTTTAGAGAATATATTTTTATGGACAAATGTCTAACTTTTATCTATGAAACAAATTGTTGTTAAATTGGAGTTATTATCATTCATGAACTTCATGTATTATTTTCCCTGTTAGAAATCCTTGAATTTTAGATATATAATAGTGTATTTTTTGCTTTAAAATGATTCCTTGTTTCAGGTTACAAACTTGAGTTGTTGAATATATCATTTGATAATGACATGATTTCTTTATTGACAACCTAAAATATTAGAGGTTGTATGGATTAGAGTGCAGAAATGTATGGTATCTTGGTGCAATGTTTTACTCAGCCTGGTATATATGTTGATAATCAGTCTACTACTTAAATCATAGTAACAATAATCATTGTTAGAGATAAATTTGTAACTTCTGGTTTAGAGTGGAGAAATGTGTTGTGTTGGAAGTCAATTTAAATGTTATGAAAGTGAAACGTCAGAGTGCTTAGTCCTAATTTTATAAAATCTAGATTTTAAATTAAGTTCACTTCAGAAATCCATGCAGCAAAAGCTATTAAATTGTTTATATTTTTAAGCAAATATTGAAAATTGTGGTATTTCTTAGCCATACATTTTACTTTTAGATTTTATAATGGAATATTTAGGAACTCAAACAACAAATTACAACAAAAAATTATTTCTGTAATAATAAGACTATTATATTCAACACTTAAATATTTTATCTGATGCACAAATAGCTTTAATATTTTACTGTGATGAGCACACATATAAGTCTGAATACATGTTTACATACAGATCCAGGCACATGTTATACATGTAGATCTGGATCCCTGTTGTACCTCTAGGTTAGATACATGTGAATCTGGATAGAAGTTATTCATATGGAAACAGTGATTTTGCAATAAAACTGCTACTGTTAATTGGTTGCAATTTGAGTGTAATAACAGAAGATTTGTTTGTTAATGGATATTTGTTAATGATAGGAGCTCTGCATTGGCAGGTGTTGTGTACATAAGTATGTGTGTGGTTGTATGTTATAAGGTGGTGTGTGTATGTATTACTTGAAATATATGTATGATTTGTGAAATCAAATGGTGGCATATGAACTTGATAATGTAAATACATAATTTTATTAACTATTCCAATCTTGTACATTATTTAAATTCCTTCAGTTGAGGTGGCATTAAGTTTATGGGGGAAACATTTGTGCTGAAGAATGTCAGGATTTTATTGCATAATAAGAAAAATAAAACCATTTATCATTTAGACTTTAGACTGGTATATATCAAGCCAAAACTAGATATACTGCTTTGGTAAAACTTGATCCTGATGATCCTAAATATATATTCATGTTATTCTACAATTTTTTCCCGTCTTTTTTTTTTTTTTTTTTGTATAAAATTTGGTAACAAAATCGTTCTTTAAGGCTCAGGAAGAATATATAGTAAATAAACAAAAAATTGTTTTAGTTTGTTGCATTATATTTAATATTTCTATAAAATTAAAATCTGAGGATTGAACAAGATTGTTTAAGCAAAAATACTGTTAAAAAAGAAGGGGAGGGGTGTGGTATATACTAGTCTGAAGTTCCATTTATACTCATTGTGGTAGCTATACTGTGATGGTCCATATACATTATTAAATTAATATATTTATTTAATCATATGTTTATACTTTTGTACATAGCCAATTTTTTCTACAATACAATGCAATTTTATTTTTATTGTATATTTTGTATAGATTTTCTTCTGACTGCTTCATTGTACATACTGCATACAAAAAGTAGTTTTTTAGTTGAAAAAAACCTTGCTCACTTTTCATTCCTCTATTTTGATGGTGCCAGATTCAGTCCTTATATTTAATGCAAAATACAAGTCATAAATATTTGAAACATGGTGTTGATAATTATTTACTTGTAAATCATCTTCATTATCAGTCACCTCTTGGGTTTTTGATATCATTTGACCATAGAATTAAATATATCCAGGGGACAGTCACCTCTTGGGTTTTTGATATCATTTGACCATAGAATTAAATATATCCAGGGGACAGTCACCTCTTGGGTTTTTGATATCATTTGACCATAGAATTAAATATATCCAGGGGACAAAAAACAAAAATTGAGTTGGTTTACCTCTTACTATTTTTCTGTCATTGTTTACATTTATGATAGTTATTTCATTATCTCATTTTGATCATTAAACACCTACTGGGCACAAGTTTTCTTGGATTAACCTATTTTTCTTATAAATATTCAAAGTGATCTTAAGCTCACAATTCAATAATTAACTAACAGATAAATTCATATTCAAAAGGACAGCATTGTTTGAATACATAAAAGAAAATGTTTCATCAGAATCAAAATTAAACCCACCTGGCTGATCTCTTATTTGTTCATTTGTACTTAGTGTTATACAAACATGATTTTTTTGACATGTCTATCCATCTGTCATTCCTGTACTGTTGCCTACACATATTTTTATTTCTAGTCCGATCACTTTAAAATTTGAAGATATATTATTGGTTTTATAATAACCTCGAAAACTTTGAAATTGGGAATTATTATTTGGCATGTTGGAGTTGGACAAATTTCACAAGATTTATTGGGTCACTTCAGTTACTCCTTTATTCTTCAAGGGATACACTTAAAACCTTGAAAAAAAAACATTTTTGTGAAAAGGGACTTTTAACTTTTTATTAAAATGAGGCATGTGAGCTTGCTTATTAATTTTTTTTATATTAGTGATCTAATAACTACATGGATTTTGGTTGCTTTTTTATATAGCAAGTTAGAATTAAGAAAACTGTTTATAACACAGGAGAATAGACACCTTTACAATTATGTTAAAGTAAATAGTAAATAACACTTACCTGAAGTAGAAAGAAAAAATAGAACAAATGTATTTGGTTTTATATGTTAACTATATTATTCTACAAAATGCAAACATTTATTTATAAATTTTGAAAACATGATCATGCAAATTTTCATTATTGCTTTATCATAAAGATTAGAATTTAGAATTTTTATATAGCATGCCTCTGACAGGTAAAGTTAGAACCTACAGTAGCAAATATTGATCACTTATAGCATCTAACAATGTAAATGATATACAAGTAGTTGCTGAATCCATTCATTATTAACATTAGCCGTCAATCTTTTATCATTGAAATATTATAAACAATTGAAAACAATGCTATCAAAATCTCATTTTCATGTCTTGTTCTACAAGATTACTTAAAGATACATTTATTTTTCTAAGAATAACTGGTCTTTTTCTCCTAGCCCTTAAATTTGTAGATAATCAATATATATAAATGGTTATCCTGCCAGTTAAGGTGACAAGGTTGTTATTGACTGGATACAGACAGTATTCCTTACATCTAGTCCATAAGTCAAGGATTTGTGATTTTTTTTGTTTACATTTGTGTGAGAAAGTGTGTGAAAGATGGATAATCAATCTTCTCTAGTAGAATTTTCTCAGAAACTTGAAACTGGTATTTTTAAAGTTAGAATTTCAGGTGGCAATATACTTAGTATCTTCTTTTTTCCTTCATGTATTAAGAATTTACAAACCAGTTCAGTTTATTAATTTTTTACCTGTCTGATTAGGACAAATGACATCGTTTATACACTTTTTATTATTATTTAATTGGCATTGATATGAAGTAAAAGAGAAATATTATAACAAAGTTAAATATGTCCTTTTTTCTATTAAAAAAACAAAATTTAATAGATTTCAATTGTAAAAGGTTTAAGTGGAAATCAATTCTAACTGAAACACATTATAAAATCTTCTGTTATCATGACAAAAGAGGAGCACCTTTTATACTTTCAAATAATAATGCTGTTTCCCAGAATAATTGAATTGGTTATTTAAAATTTATTTGAATTGTAATTAGAGAAAACCTAATGTTCAGATTTTTTTTTCTGGTTTTAACCATATTTCAAACATATTCAAATTTAAACCAGGGGTCGTCTTCAACTATTATGTTATAAATAAAATGCTTTAATAATGAAGTTTTAAACATTTTGTTGATTTGAGAGTTATTGCCCTTGAACATTGTGTAAAGCCCTAAATATCTCAGCTTATTTTATGCACCAATAAGTAACTTAGAATGAAATTATTGATCTGATCATAGATTATATTATAATACTTTCTTTTATTATTTTCTGTCAAACATAAATGATCGGGTTTCATGAAAATGAATATAGCAACAACAAAATAACATAATCTCTAGAAATTTTATTGAAAATACTGAATCTTAACTAAAATGAAATTATGTATTAATCAGCATAAAACCTTAGCTAGTGCTTTTCTATGTTGGAATATGAGCCCTAATTTGTTTTGTACAACATGTAGAAAATTGGGCTTTTTTTTCTTTCCTGTTGACTGAAAATAACACAATGTTAACTTATCAGTTTGTTTGTAAGAAAAAGGATCATGTACATATGGGAAATAAAATAATTTTCAATCTGTAATTGTCATTTTGTATGTACTCTTTAGCTTGTAGTTTGAAAAAATATGGTTAACTTTTTTTGAATCTCATTTAAATTAATGAGATGTCTTTGTAAGTGACTAAACAGTTTCATTCATTATTAAATTCTCTTCATTTGGGAAGTTCAAACCGGTCTTCTCAAAAAATATTTATTGCTAGAAAGCCATTGTACCAATAACAAATCAAAATTTTATACGACCGCAAAAAATTTTGTGGTCGTATATTGGTATCACGTTGTCGTCAGCGTCGTCCGAAGACATTTGGTTTCTGGACAATAACTTTAGTAAATGTTAATAAAAATCTATGAAATTTAAACACAAGGTTTATAACCACAAAAGGAAGGTTGGGATTGATTTTGGGGGTTATAGTCCTAACAGTTTAGGAATTAGGGGCCAAAAAGGGGCCCAAATAAGCATTTTTCTAGTTTCCAGACAATAACTTGTAGAACGGTGTATGGATCTCTCTGAAATTATACCACAAGTTTCCATACCACAAAGGCATGGTTAGGATTGGCTTTGGGGGGTTATGGCTCAAACCTTTTAGGAATTAGGGGCAAAACAAGGGTTTCCTGGTTAATGGACAATTAAAAAAAGTACAATGTTATGTTTGGATTACCTCCCTTACACTGCTTTTAAATTATGTATAAAGAAATGTATTGTCTTGAGGTGATTAGCTGTCAATTTATTTTTTAGAAGTTACTATTTAAAAATGCTGATTAAGGAATATTAATTTTAGCCATGATTATGTATGTCATTCTCTATTTTAAGACTTTTATGATGTATTTAAATGGGTAATTATGGTTGCATGCCATTGGAAATTTGAATTGAGATTATGACCATATCTTGAGTGAAAGAATTTTTTTTTGGAAAAAGGGGGGGGGGAGGTGAAAAAAAAATTGGGGGGGGGGGGGTAAAAAGAAATGGTGAGGGGGGACAATTTTTTCTCATTTCAGATTTCAGAAATTAAAAAGAAAATTTCTTCAAATATTTTTTTTTTTTTGCCAAAAAAGGGGAGGTCAATTTGCAACAGCATAGTGTATTGCACAAAAGCAAAAAATTGAATATAAATTCAAATCATATAACCAATTCTAAGTCCTTTGACTTTATTCTGTGTCAGAATCCTATTATGTGTCAAATATTTAATTACTATCCAAATTCAGACCTGTATCAAGCGCTAATATTGTGTCCATTTTTGCCCCAACTGTTCAGGATTGGACCTCTGCGGTCGTATCCAGCTGCGCTCGGCGAAGCAATTTATTTTATTGGTTGTCAGTGCTAATTTGACTGGTTTGTGGATACTCATATTGGAAATATCTAGAAAAATCTCACTAAGAATCATTGAAAAAAAAATTATATGACAGAAAGGTTTTCTTCAGTACTAGTATTCCTGCTGAGTATCAGTTTTTTGGATCTCAGAAAGCATACTCATTTTTGCCTCCTAAAGGAGTATTAGTTCTTCAGGGAAACCCTTGGTTAGGTGGCATCCTTTTGGCTTAGAATGAAGTATGAATACAGGGCCACTTCTGGTGGGAATGAGGACGTTAAATCTACTGCCACATATCTCTAGTAAATCACTATCTGCACATTAAAAATCACTTTCAATAAATCTGAGGTATCTGTTGGTATTATGTTGTAATGCAAAATATCTGCCCCCTTCTAACATTCCCTTTTCTTAGCATTGGCGGTACATGAAATAGTTTGTATTTGAAGGCTAAGTGAACTAATAAGCTCTTTGGCAGTCTTAATTTATCACCCTTTATCATAGGAGACCCTCTATGCAGTTCGTTGTTTATCAGCTTTATCAGCTACCACAACAACATGATCTGGGACCAAACTTACAGGTCTCTAAATATGATTAATTGTGGTGCTCATTGAACAATAAAATTTATGGATTGAATTTGAATGAATAATTGAAGAATCTTACGGGAAAGAAAGGATATGGTTTATTCATTCATAACATAAAATCACTACATGAACTTGATAACAACAAAAGGAAAAGAACATCACTTTTATTGCTGTTCTTTATCTCAAAGTCACAGAATGACTTTCAACATAGATCAAAGACACCTCACTGCCAGTTCAAGAAGGTCCCTAGCACAAGATTGAGCAAAGTTCTTTGCCAGATGTTGATCATGCTACATTTGCGTATTTAAGAACTTAGTTGTGGATATATACAACAAATTGTAATCTATGTGGGAAAAGAAATTTATAGACAAATACTCTTTCAAATTGCCCAACAATCTCGGTTGAAATGAACATTACTATCAACTTTGTCCTTACCTGGTCTGCTACTGTTAACTCATGAAAATATTAAAGTGTGATTTATTATTATAAAATATTACAGTAGAGTAAAAGATAAAAACAGAAGCCAGAAGAGTACGGGTCCTTCAATCTTTCTATTTCCTGCTCTCAGAAAATTTTTGTCTTGCAATTTATAATTTGAAACAAGGTTTCTGAAGATGAATGAAAATACTTTTACTTCACATTCAGTTATATAGGTTGTATCATTTCACTGAATGATTCAAGGAAATCGTATTCATCCCATTAAATTAGTACACCTGAAATAAATTACACCACGGATATCGTAAAGTATCCATTTTTCCAAATACCTTGTATTGTTCTTGTCTTTGACTCTTCCATCAATGCCTGTCTTTGACCATGTACATCATTATCTATACTTGGTAAAGCAGCGCTTACTTTGAAAAAGAACCATCAGGAAAACAGAAACATTGCATGCCATCTGAAATTTTATTTTTCATTGACGATCAGACGATTTTCTAATGATGATCGGTTCTGTTTTGCACATCATATGCGACCACCCGTATCAGTATAGTTCATCTTCAGACCAGAGAGTAACTCTCCGCAGAATCTAAACATCTAAATTTAAAAGTAACAATCTAGAAGAATAACTTACTGCCTACTGATTCAAATACTATCTGAGCGAATAAAAGTAAGAAAAAGATATTTTTCATATCAATAACATCATTATCCTCTAATCTCTATAGGCGCTGGAAAATGAGAGGAGAACAGAATATACAAACTATGAACAGTTATTTTAAGATTCTATGGCTAAGCTCAAGAACCAGTGGTGGATCCAGGGGGAGGGGTTCCAGGGGTTGCAACCCCCTTTTTTTACGATATATGCTTTTGAATGGGGACATATGGTTGAAATCCCTCCTTTATCCTGGGTTGCACCCCCTTTTAAAAATGGCTGGATCCGCCCCTGAGAACACATGAGATGTGGGAATGTAAGTTGAAATATGAAATAAAATCTAATACATAGAAAAGGGGGTCCATTCCCTAAGCGCCTGTGACAACCTATAATGATGGGATATTGCTGCAATTTCTGTAAGTTATGTAATTGAAAGAAATATTTATAGAACATGGTTATTCCCGTACAGGTTATAGCCGAACTATGGAAATCACTAGCCTACTGAAACTGAATTCTGTATTATTGAAATTACATGAAATATACATTGATCATTCTTTGTAAGTGACTCATTTATTTGCAAACAGAGAGCAAGTATCGTTGTCTCGGAAAGGCAACAGTTACTCTCAATAAAACACTTATAGAAATTATTATGAAGTAGGATTTATTAGTTCCTAAGTGAATCGGACGCAATATTACAATGTTGTAATATCGGGAGAAAAAAAATATATTCAAGTACTCTCCCATACTTAGTGAACTTAGATGTTGCATAAACCCATGTAATGAACGTCGTGAGAGGTTTTTATGCCCCCGCCGTAGCGGAGGAGGCATTAAGCTTTACCCTTGTCCATCTGTACGTCCGTACGTACGTCCGTATGTCCGTCCGTACGTCCCAAAATTGGTTTCCGTTCTCTAACTTTAGTTTGCCTCAACCAAATGTTATGAAACTTATATACAATGCTAATTACCACAAAACACAGATCAAGTTCAAATTTTGGTGGCGTCACTTTTACCGTTCTAGAGTTATGCCCCTTTACAAATGGAAAAATTGCTGAATTTTACGTTTCCGTTTTCTAACTGTAGTTTGCCTCAACCAAATGTTATGAAACTTACAAACAATGCTAATTTCCACAAAACACAGATTAAGTTTGAATTTTGGTGGCGTCACTTTTACTCTTCTAGAGTTATGCCCCTTTACAAATGGAAAAATTGCTGAAATATTTGTTTCTGTTCTCTAACTGTAGTTTGCCTCAACCAAATGTTATGAAACTTATGCACAATGCTAATTACCACAAAACACAGATCAAGTTTAAATTTTGTTGGCGACGCTTTTACCGTTCTAGAGTAATGCCCTTTTACAAATGGAAAAATTGCTGAATTACGTTTCCGTTCTCTAACTTAAATTTGCCCCAACTAAATGTTATGAAACTTATAAACAATGCTTATTACCACAAAACTCAGATCAAGTACAAATTTGGGAAGCGTCACTTTTACCGTTCTTGGGTTATGTCCCTTTATAATGTTATATGCAAGCGGGGGCATCATCTGTGTCCCATGGACACATTCCCCATTTATTTTTTATATGTTTGAGTGTTGTTTTTATTTTGTCATAATAGTGAATTTGGTATCGAATGCAGGTCTTTCAAATCCTCTGATAAATTAATTCACATAAAATTAATTCACATAATTTTTGAACTCGCCCCGATTTAAAAAGATTAACATGTTGTAGACTTTATCTGTTGAAAACCGTACTTTGGTATTAAATTAGATGTCTTGTTTTCATTTTGTGTCGTTGGGTTGGCGTCTCATTGACAAACACCCCATAACGGTATGCCATTTATTCGTAATATAAAGAAAGGAATTAAAATCAAACCAAGACGAAATAACGAGATAAAGATCGTCAAAGCTAAGCCTATTCGTTTAAGGTCCATTTTGGTCAAATAGCTCCTCACGTAATCAAGTACTTCAGTAAACATCCGGGGCTTTCAATTTTTTTGGTGTTAAGCGTTCCTGACGAAAGTAGATAAAGAAAAGCGTTTCGGGACGCACCAAATT